CGGGTCTGCCCCTCGGTACCTGGACGAGATGCAGGTCTGCTAACGGTTACGAAGCATCCCAGGCGTTCCCAGCTGGTACCAAAAAGAATCCCGTCTTCTGGATTTTAGACCTTGATTTCTCACCCCTGCCCTCTGGCTGGCTGCCGAAGAGCAGGTTGTGGAGAACTTGACATTGGGTGACGGAGTTCCTTCCAGGATAAAAGAACTTTTTTTTTTTCTTTTTCTTTTCTTTTTTTTTTTTTTTTTTAAGTACTGCTCCAGGGGAAAAGACCCTCTTAAAGAGTTTGACCTCTTGGGAGGAAGTGTCCGGCGGAGGAGCAGCGTGCCCGGGGAATGGCCAGACCTGGCCTTGCCTTTGATACTTGGTCCACGTGTTCTTGGAGGAAAACCAAGAAGTGGTTCCTTCAAAGCGGGACCTTGAGGTGTCCCAGTGACAGACCAAAGCAAGACCCCCCAAGACGGCGAGAGCCTGCTGCTGCCCCCAGATTCATACTTGCTATGAATTACTTTGCTGACTTCAAACCCAGAGAAGCATCTTTCTTCTTCTAGGTGGGAATATGTATTTATTTTTTTGTAAGTTATACCATTCTTTCACGTTAGAGAATCCAAGTGAAGACCTTTTTGGGAGACCTTTTTGTAATGACTCAACACTGGAAACATGGACATTTGCAAATGATTTGCAGTTAAAAAAAAATACTTTATTTCTTTCTAAACAAGCTGTTCTGTTTTCTTTGGGGGCATTGGCAAAGGTCACACCCCTGACGGAGTTGGGATGTGGCAGGTGCATTCTTGCTAGAATGAGCTGTCATCAGAACCCGGAGCTGGGTGGGATTAGCAGGCGCACAAAGCCTGGGCTTTGGGGCCAGACAGGCCGAATCAGAGTCCTTCCCTGGTCACCTGTTATGGGGAGGTCACTTAGACTGTCTGCCCCGTTGCCTGGTCTGTAAAGAGGGGCTGGTCAGAATGACCTCGTGGTGTGTTGGGAACCCGTGGCCCAACTCAATCCCATGTGGCCAACGCTACCCTTGACCCTGGCTTCGTACTGGGATGGACCAGGCTGGGCTGCAGGAACAAGTCATAAAATCCTGGACAGTGACCCCGAGGGTTTATGTCACGCTCTTCCAATTCTTGAGGGACAGGAGCCTCCACGCTAGCTCCTGTGGACACCACTCAAGGGCTGGCTTCCGGGTCCCCAGAGCCGAGGAGGGGGAAATGGATGAGTCCCTGCCACTCTTCAGAGTCGCAGACCCGCAGCTGTCCCACCCACAGCCCCGCGGCCAGAATCGGTCACGCGTGTTTCACTCCAGCCAAACACAGGGGACGCTGGGAAATGCGGGCGTGCACGTGGGAGGGAGGCTCCTCCTGTCCCGGTGGACTTGGTGTGGGGTGGTGAGACGGGGGTGTGTCTGAGTTCGTACTGGGCGAGTCTGGGTCACGACGGAGCCCTGGGAGCGCGACCTTCAGTCTACACCAAGACCATGCGCCAAGGGCGTGTGCGGATGGAACGTTCTAGCACTTCCACTGTGCCCCAAGCACTGCAGTCCCCTGACTGACACTGTCAGCTTGCCCCAGAGACTGCGGATCGGGAAGGCAGCCCCTGAGCCGGAGCTGGGGAGGCCGTGACCATTCCCACTAGTGGCCATTCACTGTCAGTGAGGAGGCGGCCGCGCTTGGGGCAGGCGGCGGGTTTCGGTCCTGGAGCCTGGCCCTGGGCCTCGAAGTCTCGGGTCAGATCCTAAACGGTCTCTGAGGGTTGGCCCTGGACGGGTTGGGGTTCAGGTGGTGGTGGGGTCATTAGGACTGGACGCGGGGTGCTCAGGAGGAACCCAGGGCTGGGTGTCAGTTTAATCTGGTGAAGAGTCCACGGAGTGAGGCCCTCCCCCTCCCAGGTAAGTGCTTCCGTGTCTTGAAGGCAGGGGTGGGGGGGCTGAGCTTTCTTGTGCACCTACTGCATGCCCAGCTCTGGGCTCTGTGTCTGCAAAGCTCCCACTAAGGGGGGTCCTGGCCACTTTGTCCACCCTAGCCCTCTTTCCGATCTGATGGCTAATTCGGTACTTTCTCCAAAATATGCAGGATCTAACCACCTTTTGGGGGGGGGAGGAACCAGGGTGCTTAACCACTGAGACACGTCCTCAGCCTTTTTCACATTTTTATATTTCAAGACAGGGCCTCCCTAAGTCGCCTAGGGCCTCACTAAGTTGCTGAGGCTGGCTCTGAACTCGAGATCCTCCTGCCTCAGCCTCCTCCAGAGCCGCTGGGATGACAGGCGTGGGCCACCCGCCCGGCCCAGCCACTTCTTTCTCCCTCTGCTGCCACCCTGTCCCAGCTGCCTCCCTCTTGCTCTTGTGTCCCCACTGGGGCCTCCTCGGTGACCTCCTGGCTTCTGTCCCTAGCTGCCACCCTGCTGCCTGTTCTCCTCCCAGCGCCATGGTGACCCACGACACCAGGAGCTGATGTGGGCTCCTGCCCGGCCTCACCCCAGGGTCGTCCCGGCTGTGTGGGGACAGAACAGAAGAGGTAAAACCCCTGACCACGCCCCGCTCTGAGGACACACGTGGACCCTGTGGGATCTGTCACCACACACAGGGGGCCCTAGTGCCACGTGGGTGCAAGGTGCAGGAAACACGGCGAACGGCACGACCCAAACCCCCAGATCCCGGGGGAGAGGAGCACTCTGCTGCCGTCCCCGGGGGATTCTAGGGTGGAAGTGGCCCTGGCTGAGCGCAGATGCCAGGGAGCCCAAGAGGAGGCAGGGCCACCTGAGGGTCAGGGTCCCAGTCTTCTCATGTGACAGGGTCTCATGGCCTCACCGGAGCACATCCGTGAAGGGCCGCTCCGAGGCTCACACCTGGAACCCGAGGAACTCGAGAGGCTGAGGAAGGAGGATCGTAAGTTCGAGGCCAGCCTCAGCAACTTAGACCCTGTCTCAAAAAGTTAAAAGGGCTGGGGATGTGGCTCAGGGTTAAGCACACCTGGGCTCAGTCCCCAGTACCAGAAAACAAGAAAGAGCTGTAGGAGTAGTACTGCCCCAGGTCCTAGAACGTCTCATCAGGGGCAAGCCACAGTGCCCAGCTCCTTTGGCTGGGCTCGCCGTGTGGCAGCACTTGAAGCCGTGTCAGGCACAGGTATGTGCTTGAGGGGGGAAGGGACCCTGTGGCGCTGAGAAGCCTGCAGGGACAGACACTGGCCAGGGGCGTCTGACTGTGTCCTTGCTGACCTAACCCTGCCCCCTCCTCCAGCCAGGCCCCACCGGAGGAGCCTCTGGCAGGGCTGCTATGGCCTGGGGGGCCTCCTCACTGCCTCACGGCGGGAGCCAACAGCAGCCTGGTCAGTGGCTCCAGGGCTTCCACGTGCCGGCCACTGTGTCCCCCACGTGGCTCTCTGGTCCATGACGGAGACTCTGGTGGCCCAGGAGCCACCCCAGTTGAGTTTGCCAAGCCCACAGCAGCCTCTGCCTGTGACCACACACCTGTCTGTGTGACCTTGGCCAGCAGAGAAGAGCAAAATGCCCCCGCAGGCCGCCCCTTCTCTAAAGCAGACAGGCCGAGGGCCGGTGTGAGCGCGGGTGATGGAGGGGCCCGGGACAAATCCCACTCTGCCCCTTACCAGCCAGACACCCTGGCGACCCCGTCCCCTCTCCCACGTCAGGCTCCCTGTCTGCAAAGGGGGGCTGGGAACGGCTCCACAGAACCGGCCGGTGAGTGGACGGGGGGCGGGGAGGGCATCAGAGGGACCCGGCCCACATCTTGGCAAAGGGGGACTGAAGCTGAAGGGCAGGGCACAGACGTTTCATCAGGACCAGGCCCTGTGGCCTGCACTGGGGGGACCAGGCAGCGATTCCCGGAGACAAGGCCTTGGGCATGTCCCCGCCTGGTACTAGCACAGCCATGTGCATGCCCCGGGGTGACTAATGGCAGCAGGACACGATAGGTGACCTGACACCCCCCCCCCCCAGGGGACAGATGGCAGTGTATGGAATTTTGTCACCATCATGGAGGGACATGCTGTTGGCATCTGGCAGGTGGAGCCCAAGGAAGCTGTTACACATACTGTGCCGTTCGGGACGCCCCACGACAGGGGTCCAGCCGCACAGGTCACTCTCGATCCGGCTGGAGGGCCTGGAGACACCTCTCCGCCTCCCCTGCACATCGCGTCCCATCGGCCCTTGTTTTCCTGGTGTAGGAAACATGCCCCAGGCTCGCACCATGAGGGTCAGGGAGCGATTCCTGTGCGACCTTCACACCTGTCTGTGTGACCTTGGACTCGGCTGGCTGTCGGAGACTCTTTGGTCCTCTTTCCCGGTGCCCAGAGCTAATCCTACGTGTCCGGGCGTGAGCAGTACAGGGAGCTGTGCGCGGGTCACCTCTGGTTAAAGCAAGTGCTTGGCTTTCAGTACCGTCTGCAGTACGAGAGTGACCAGAATCACTCGGGGCGTTCTGATGGCCTCTGGGGCTGCCCTGGAACGCGGCTGGACTTTGGTCTTTGCAGCCATGTGTGTGAAATGTGCAGAGTCCTGGGTGGGTTCTCCCACTGGGGCCATGAGTCCTGGCACCTCTGTTCTGGGAACTGAGTGTGTGTGCCGTGCTTGCTTGTGCCTGGAGGGGGCCCGTCTCTGTGAGGGGGACCTGGCTGTGTGTCCAGGTGGGACAAGACACTCCTTGGAGCTTCTCTACAGGGAGGCATGGGACGGCCCTCCTCACTCCTGGCTGATGCTTCGATCATGGCTTTAACAGTTTATCTATCAAAATGGAAAACAGATCAGCAGGTGTGGGGGGCCATGGGGGTAGGGGGGCTGCAGAACGGCCGCAGGAGGGGTCCTGGGTGTGGGACGACTGCATTTCCCCACCAGGGAGGTGCGCGTGGGAACCCCATGCACCCACGAGCAAAACTGAGGTGTGAACCAGAGGGGCGTCGGATCAGTGTCAAGTCCTGCTTGTGATCTTGCACTAGAGCTTGGCAAGATGTCACCCCCCCTGGGAGAAACAGGGCAGGAGGCACGGTGATCTCTCCATATTCCTTCTTAAAGTGGCCGGTTAGATTAGAATCATCTCAAAATACAGTTCATTTGGGAGAAGTTGCACGCACCCCAGCCCCAGCCCCAGGGAGTCTGGCTTAATCCATGTGGGTTGGGCCTGAGCGCGGGGCTGTCCGTGAGCTCCCAGTGAGTCTGGCGGCCAGCCAGGGCTGAGGGGCACTGCCCTCTGACCCCAGGGTGGGCCGGGCGGAGTGGACCTTGCCTGGACTGCCCTGGAGCTTGGGGGGTCCACGTGGGTCTCATAGTCCGTGACAATTGGCACCTTCTCTGCCATTTTCCCTCTGTAGCAGTCTAGACTTGCCACCATGGGGAGCCACTGACGATGGCCAGGGGACAGTTGAGGGGTCTGGCTCAGACCAGGCCGGACTCCTGGGCGAGCCTGTAGAATAGGCCCTTGTGGGCCAGCAGCTGGGCTGGGCTGCCGCTCTCTGCCACCTGGCCCTTGTCCATGACCAGCACCCTGCAGGAGAGAAGACAGGGTAGCCCCTGGTGCCCCACCCAGGCAGCTCTGCGAGCCCCACCCTGCTCCAAGGCTTGCCCCCCAGAACTCCAACCTCCCAAGCCCCTTCCTGGCCGGTGCGACCACATTGGAAGCCAGTGTCCAGGGCTCTTCCCTTCCCCTCTGGGCATCAGTGCTGCCGGCTGCCTGCCGGGCCCCTCCCAGTGCACCCCAGAGCCCTTCCAGCTCCACACCCGACCCCACCCCCCCTTCGTCCCCTGTGGTGGTCCCCGAGGGCCCCCCAGAGGGCACCCTACCTGGCACAGTCCATCACCGAGCGCAGGCGGTGGGCGATGAGCAGGACGGTGCATCGGGCAAACCAGCCCCCGAGGGCCGCCTGCATCTGCAGCTCCGTCCCCGGGTCCACCGCGGCCGTGGCCTCATCCAGGATGAGGATCTGGGTTTTCCGGAGAAGGGCACGTGCCAGGCACAGGAGCTGCTTCTGGCCCACGCTGCAGTGAGGGGACAGTCAGCTGGAAGTGTTTGCTGCAGGTCACAGTTTCTAGAGCCTGCCCACAAACGGGTCCCCGGGCGGCTGCAGGAGTAGGCCTACGTGGCCTGTCCCCAGGGTGAGCCTGGCGTCCCCTTCCTTCTGTCTTTGAGCAGGCTGACTGTAGGCAGGTCATTCAAATCCAGAGCCTCGGTCCCTCACCTGCGACAGGGCTACCCTCTCTCTCTGTTCGTGGCTATTTCTGCTCCCTGGTTTTCATCATGCAGGAGACCCCTCTGGGTGTCACGCAGTCATTGACCACATCAGTGGGTCCTGGTCTCTGCTTCTGGCAGAGGAGGGCACAGGCCCAGGGAGGTCACAGTGCTGGCTGCTGGCGGAGCCAGACTCTGACCCAGGACCTCTGAGTCATGGATCCTCCCTCCCCGAGTCAATCATACAAAAGTGGGTGCTTGTCAGAGAGAACCTCAGCGTGCAGCTGCTGCTTGATTGTAGATAGGGAAGTACAAGTTCAAGGTCACACAGCTGGTGAGGCCCTGGACCCAGGAAGGAACTGGCCTCTGGGGATTCAGCCTGGCTGGGTTTTTCCTGCCATGCTTGGCTTCCTGCCTCAGTAAACCAGTTCATCCACATAACAGGGCCTCATTATTATTATTATTATTATTATTATTATTTTTGGTGCCAGGGATTGAAGCCGGGGGTGCTCTATCGCTGAGCTACACCCCCAGCCCTTTTTATTTGAGACAGGCTGACCTTGAACTTGCAATCCTCCTGCCTCAGCTGGTGGAGTCACTGGGATGGCAGGCATGTGCCACTGGGCCCGGCTCAGCAGGGCCTCTTCAGAGAGTCAGATCCTACTATGGCCATGTGAGCACCCGGTGCCTGGGCCTTCCCCAGCCTCACCACTTACAAGCTGGGTGGCCCTGGGCAAGCCTCAGGCCTCGGCTTGGGACTCTGTGAGAGGGGATTAGTGAGAATGTGTCTGAGGATTCAGAAGATGACTCTCGTTTCCTGCAGACCACGAAGTTTCACCCACTTGCTTCGTCCCCCCCTGGGTTGGTACCGTTAGACACGTTTTACCGATAATTTGCCCGTAGTCCTACATCTAGAAGTGGGGGAGCCTGGATTTGAGCCCAGGCGTCTGACCCACCAAGATAACGCTGCCTGAAGCCACCGCACCCACAGACCTTTCCCGACACCCTCGGGGTAGGGGGTTTAAATGCAGAACATCTTGGTTTGCAAACCTCTCTCCACCTGTGTTCATAGCATAGTTATTCCCAGTAGCCAAAAGGTGGTGACCACCCACACATCCACACCTGGGGACAGGTAAGTGGATCAACTGGGGTCTTTTCACACAATGAAATATTACCCAGTCTTAAAAAGGAAGGAGGTTCTGGGGCTGGGGCTGGGGCTTGCCTCACACATGAGGCACTGGGTTCAAAACTCAGCACCACATTAAAAAAATAAATAAATAAACAAAATAAAGTGATGGTGTTCATCTACAATAAATAAAAATAAAAAAGGAGAGAGACTCTGACCCCAGCTACAGAGGAACATCAAGGCCACTGTGCTAGTGAAATAATCCAGGCCAGAAAAGCCCTTCCTCTGAGTCCACTCATCTGAAGACCGGGCTGTCAAACCTACAGACAGTGGGCAGAGTGGCGCTGGCTGGGAGAGGGGAGAGGACAGTTGGGGGAGGGGAGATGGACAGTTAGTGCTTACGGAACAGAGTTTCCGTTTTGCAAGAGGAGTTCTGAGACCTGTCGTGTGAGTGGCTCTTCATGCATGGCGTAATGACGGGGCTCTGTCCTGAGAAATGCACATCCGTGCCTACAAACGCCAGGGTGGCCTTGCCCGAGCTAAGACCCTGTGACGTCACCAGGTGACGCCCCGGGACCTCCGTGGACTGGGGCTGGCCGACCGGCAGCTGTGCTCCGCACCGCAGAACTGTGCATTTTTAAAGGTTGTTATGTGTTTTGCTCACACTTAAATTTTTTTTAAAGAAAAGGCCGACACCTGACATCACTGAGCCCCGGGGGCCGTGAGGTCAGCGCCAACATCAAGGACATCTTGGTGGCCAGATAAATACCGAGTGGGGTAAAGACTTTGCAGACGCTGATTGAGCAAGAAGGAACTTGACCCTGCGATCGGTACCTCAGGTTGTCTCCTTGGTGGGCACATTGGTACTGCAGCTGGCCGGGCAGGCTGGCCACGAAGGCCCTGAGCTGCACCGTCTCCAAGGCCGCCCAGATGGCTTCGTCCGTGTGCTCCTGCCGCAGGTCCAGGTTCATCCGCAGGGAGCCGCGGAACAGGACGGGGTCCTGGCCGAGGGCGGGGCGGCGGTCAGCGGGGCCCGGCCACGCCCACCCGCCTGGGCCCGCCCCCTGCCCCCCAGGGCCGCACCTGGGGGATGATGGTGATCCTGGACCGCAGCGCGTGCAGCCCCACGTGGGCGATGGGGACCCCGTCGATCCAGACCCCGCCCTCAGCGGCCTCCTGGAGCCGCAGCAGGCCCCCCGCCAGCGAGGACTTCCCGGCGCCCGTCCTGCCCACGATGCCCACCTGCCGGGGAACGGGAGGACGGGGCCTGCTCGGACCAGGCACCTCTTTGGAAGGGACCTCCCCCGCGCTGAAGATCTGACCGTCCAGTGCCATCCCTCGGACACCTGCGTGTCCACCGCTCCGTGTGCCCATCCGTCCAGCACCGCTTCCTCCTCTCTCCCCGCCTCACCCCGAGGTCCCCCACCCACCCACCTACCTCCAGCCTTTCCTCCCTCCCTGCAGCCAGGCCCTCCCTCCCGTCCACCCTCCTGCCCCGTCCACCCGCATCCTTCCCTCTGACCATCAGTTCATTTACTCTCTTGCTACTACTCAGTGCCTGACTACGGGGGGGGTCAGTGCTGCTTAGAAAATGATATTGGTGGGTCCTCCCCCCATATGCCACGCACACTTTAAAGCACAAGGAATTCGGAAATCTAAAAGTCCTTGCTCCTCACTGGTCACTGTCCCTTCTTGGAAACAGTGGGGTGAGCTGACTCAGGGGCACAGCAGCTGAGGGGAGGCAGAGGGCGCCCTTCATGCTGCCCTGTGGGCTTGGTGGGGCTCAGGGGAGGCTTGGGAAGGAGGGCATGCTTGGGTGGGGCCTTGAAGGGTGAGTAGGAGTTCGGGGACGGGGAGGACCCCAGGTAAAGCAGGCTGATTTCACAGCACCCTGGGCCCGGCTGGCCCAGAAGCAGCTGCCCCACCCAAGGTGGCTCAGCCCTGGCGTACGGAGGGCAGCAGCTGGGGAGTATTGACCAGGGGAAGGACATTCTCAAAGGCAGACCCCGGAGACCAGGTTGGAGGAGGTGAGAAGGGAGGCTGGGGGCTCCGCAGGGAGGCTGAGCAGAGTGGCCGGGAGGGAGGAGCATCGGCGGAGGGTCCCCGCTAAAGTAGGACCCTCGCGCCCCCTTGTTGGGCTGTGAACACGCCACTGGTTCAGTCACCCAGGGTCACGTGTCCATGGCACTCACTGGGTCCTTTCTCTGGGCTATGTCAACTGTCACAGTAACTCAGAGGTCAGCAGTGGTACTCCTGTCCTGTAGACGTGACACGACTGGCCCCGGCTCAGGCCTGGCCAAGCGGCAGCCATCCCGAGCAAACAGAACGGTATGAACAGAAGGTTGGGCTCTGCCCAGCACGTAGTAGGTGTTCAGTTAAGGTCAGCAGGAGAAGGAAGAGAGAGGCCTCCTCTGGGACACCAAGGTGGCCTGGGGAAGTCCCCCCCAGAGCAGATTTGGGGAGGATGAGTCCAGTGGGGAGGTGGAGGGTGTGGAAACAAGAGCCAGTGGGGACATGTAGGCTGGAGCCGGCCTCCTCAAGGGTGCCAAGGGTGCAGGGACAGGCGCTCACCTTCTCTCCCGCGTGGATCTTGAAGGACACGCCCTGCACAGCCAGCGGGAGCTCGGGTCGGTGTCTCAGACCAAAGTTCCGGAACTCGATCTGTCCCCCGCGAGGCCAGGGAGGCCGGCCTGCGCAGGAGGGCAGCCTCCAGGGAGCCTGCCGAGGAGAGACACGGGGTCAGAGAGGCTCCCTGCAAGGTTTCCCATGGCGGCCGCCTGCCTGCGCCTGCTTCCCCCTCCGCAAGGTGGCCACGTGTACTGCTGTTCTCAGAGTCGTGGAAATCAAACGGGAGACAGCAGGGCCGATGGCAGATTACATCTGGCATCCCCAAAGTGGCCCCCTTTTATCTCTTGCTATTGTTTGTCACTGTTGATGCTGAAAAAAATATCCAGGGGCAGGAGGGGGCGCTCCCCTTTGTGTCTTTGAAGGATCAAGACAGCGCCGTGGGGGGATTGGCCCTGCCTGTGCTGTTCCTGGGACCTCAACAGACCCTTGTTGACCTCAACAGAGCCTTGGCTTCATCTGTGAAATGGGGACAGACACTAAGAGCAGAGAACCCGTCCCGAGTGTCCACAGTGGGTGGAACCCAGGCTGACTCTTCCGGGCAGGCTCTGATTGGCTCTCCTGGGACAGGGGACACTGTGGGACGTTACGTTTCTGTTCTGGGTTCTGAAGTTGCTAGAACGTTGCCATCGTGTTTCTCCAACGTCACTGTCTTGGCGCCGTGTTGCTAGGTAACTGTTAACTATGATGGAGTGCCGTTGCTGGAGTGTGCCCGGAACATCGCTGTTCCTGTGCCCTGGTCCCCTGTCACTTGCTGAAGGTAGGAAGCAGGGCTTGATGATCTTAACTACTGCTCTTGCTCTGTCCCTCACTCCAACCTAGGGTTGCGGGGCTAGTGACACAGAAAAGGGTGCAGGCTCCAAAGCCCACTGCAGACCTGGTCCTGGGCCCTGCCCGGTGCGTCCAGCTGTCCCCCTCACCTCCTTGGCTGTGCGGGCGTAGTCCCGCATGCGCTCCACGGACACGATGCTGTTCTCCAGGTCTGTCCAGTTGCGAACCACCCACTGCAGAGTCTGGGTCACCTGGTGCAAGAGGACACCTCAGCCAGGTGTGCCCTGGGGGCTCGTACCAGCCCTCCTCCCTCCCCACACTGCCCCCAAGGCCGGGGCTGGGAGGCTGGATTCAAGGAATAAAGGGATGGGATTTGGCCTCCACCCAAACAAGTCCCCCCTGCCTTCAGTGGAATCATACAGAGCAGAAAAGAAACCCTCAGACCAGAGAGGGTGCAGGACACACAGCATGAGTCAGGTCCAGATTCCATCCCGACAGCTTCCCCAGAGGGCGCCCAGTGATTCCCAGTCATACCCAGAGCCACTCCAAGCTCCTTAACGAGGGCCCATGGTCAATTCCACGCTCACCCCACACTTGCCACCTCACCCTCTCAGCCACACCTGGCTTATTGCTGAGCCTCTAACACATCAGGGATGCCCCTTGGGGCCTTTCCCCGGGACCCCTTCTGCACTGCCCCGACGCTCTCCAGCTTCCTGTCCCCCACAGAGGGTCCTCAGAGCGTCCCTCCCAGCCTGTGGAAGTGGACACACTCCTCATCCTCCCGCCCCCGGCCGGCTTTTCCCTGTGCCTCCTGGATGGGGGCCTGGGCAGGATTAAGTGAGTGACTATTTACCAAGCTCTTAGGACAGCACCTTGCTCATAACAAACCCCACTGAGGTCATGACCTGACATTCCTTATTCAGAGTTCAAATGTCAGTGCTCTGGAAGGGCACTCAGTCTCTGTCCCAGCTGCCCCGGCAACGTGGGGCGTGGCGGGAGTGCTGATTGGGTCTCAGGTGACTCCCGCGGGAAGGCCCTGCCTGAGGTCTGGAGAGGTACCGGATTTCCCTAACCGCCTGGCTGTAGGGGCTGGGGTGCTAGACGGCCCTACTGGCAGGAGTCTGTCCCCAATCTGCCCTGGCCGGAAGCTGTCAGGGTGGAATCTGGACCTGAGTCATGCTGTGTATCCTTGAGAGAGCTATGCACCCTCTCTGGTCCAGTAGTACCTGGAGGGCAGCTGAGACAGAGAAGCCCACGATGCCGGCGCTGAGGTGGGCCTTGCTCAGCGCCGCGCACATGGCGGCCACCAACACCAGCCCGTTGCCCAGGAGCTCCATGTTGGCCGCCAGCCACCTGCAGAGGGAGCAGGTGACAGCAGGGTCAGCTGGTGCTCTCATCCCCGGGACCTGCTTCTGTGGGTAGGTTCCTGACCTTCGCGTTCACCACCGTCATCTATAACACCTGCTTTGTGGGACGATGGGCTCAAGTGAATACAGGTGGCTCAGAACAGCACCAGGCACATCACGAGCGGGTTACAAATGTCACCGCTGAGTGCTTATTTAATCCTGTCACCGCCCAAAGGTGGCTCCGGGTTGGTTCATGAAGCTCAGAGAGACTGCGTAACTTGTCCAGGAACATCCAGCTAGTAAGTGGCAGAGCCGGGATTTGAACCCAAGACTGTGCTCAAAGCTTGGAGACCAGGGAGGCTGAGTAGCTCCTTTGTTGCCAAGGCAACAGAGACTGGTCCAGTTGCCTGGCAACCGAGCTCCTTCCTCTGTGCCCTGTTCCCTGGCTGTGGGGGACCACTCGGGCCAGGCTCTGTAGGCTCACGGTGTGAGCCCAGAGACCGTCCAGGGCGTCCAGCCTTGGCCTCAGAGAGCCCTGGCCGCTCTAGTCACACGGCATGACCTCAGGTCTCCCCCTCTGCAGACACCGATGCTTACAGGGTCTTCTCTGCCCCCAGGGTCTTCCTACCTGTCGACCACCAGTCGCGGGAAACTGACCCTCTGGTTTTCGTCCATGAGGGCGTCACTCTGAGCCACAAAGAGGCCCTGGGCGCGGAAGGCCCTCACCACCGCGCTGCCCTGGAATGTCTCGGCCACGTGGGAACACACAGAGGAGTAGCTGGCTGAATCGAGTCGTCTCAGCTGGCATGAGGTGGCCACATACAGGCTCTGAGGCAGGATGGGGAGGGTCGGGGAAAGGAGAAGCCAGAGACACACAGAGATGGCTTCCAGAGGCCCAGGGAGCCCCAGGCGCAGGACCTAGACCCATCTCTGTTACCAGCTTCCTGTGTGACCTGGGGCCAGTGTCTTGCCCTCTCTGGGCTCCCATCTCCTTGCAGAATCAGAGTTCCAAGATCCTTTTGAAAATCATCTGGGGAGGTTTGAAAACCTCCAGGCCCCAGAACGACTCAATCAGGATCCCTACGTGACATCCCTTTAGCTCGTTATCTTTTAAAAGCCGAGGTTCAGACACCACCAACCTCGTTTAAGAGGCTCACTACCCAACACTGAGGTCAGCTTTCCTTTAGGGAAGGTCCTCGTGGGAGCAAAGCAGTTGGTCAATCCGATGCGCCTGGTGATCCCGGGAGTCACACCCTGGGTAACACGCGACGCGTGGCATGTGGTTGCGGGGACAGGCTCTGGGCATCTGCTGAACACCAAGCCTACAGCCTCGCGTCCCTCCCAGCTCCTGGCTGATCCGGATGCTGCTCCTGGGGCTGCGCTTTGAGACCCCAGAGCACAGGTGTCTGGGGGTGGCTGGGGCACACCAGGGGGCAAGCCACTGCCACTCCTGTCTGGTCTTTTGTTTAGGCCAAGTCGAGGGGTGTCCGGTCCCGGCAATGGAAAGAGTCTAGCCTAATCCAGTCGGCGCGGAGGCCCTGGGGACCCTGCCCGGCTCCCAACGGGTGGAGAGGAAGCCGCGGCAGCGCATCCCCACAGCAGGACACGGTCAGACACGAGGTGGTTGGGGTTCATCCAGGACCAGCCCAGGGGCCCCGCTGGACGGACCCCCTCACACTGAGTCCTGCCCAGAGACGGGGCTGGCAGAGGTGGCCTCGGCCGTCCCGGGAGCCTCCCTACCTGGAGCCCCGCGTACAGGACCAGCAGCGGCAGGATGGCCACCAGGGCCAGGGGCGTGGCCGTGGACACCGCCAGGCCCGCCTCCAGGAGCCCGAAGGCAGAGATCAGCAGGGACCGGGCCTTGTCGGGGATGTCCACGTCCACGGTGTCCGTCTCCTTGGAGAAGCGGTTCAGCAGGTTCCCGACGGGCGTCCGCTCAAAGAAGCCGATGGGTGACCGGGCCACGTCCCACAGGAGCCCCCGGAAGAGCAGGCGGGACGCCCGGACGCCGCCCAGGACCACGGCGGCCGTGGAGGCCAACAGCCCGATGGCTGGAGGGAGAGAAGGCAGCGCGAGGCCTTGTGACCCGGCCTTGATGAACCCCCCTTCCAGGGGGTCGAATAGCGTCCCCCCAGATTCCTGCCGACCCAGAACTTCAGAGAGAGTCTGATTCGGAAAGAGGACCTTGGCACATGTGATTAAAGACCATCCTGGACTTGGGACGGGGCCCACGGAATGTCTGGTGTCCTTAAAAGGGGACAGTGGACACGGGCAAGAAGATGATGTGAAGACAGAGGTGGCCACCGGAGCGACACGTCCACCAGGCGGGGACGTGGCAGCCACCAGAGGCCAGGTCAGGGGCTTTGGTGGCTGGGTCCTCCCTCAGAGGCTCTCAAGGTGCCAACCCCGCTGACACCCGTCCCTGCTGTCCCGAGGGCACCGAGTTCCCGCCCTGGTACCAACGGGTTTCCCAGCAGCCCTCGGGAGGTAACTGACGGGGGACGGCACCTGGAACGGGGTGCCCACGGGGCTGGGAGGCTCCTGTCACCTCCTGATCAAACAACGGGCGGATGTGAAAGATTTTCAGAGGGGAACGTGTCCCCCGAATGGGGCTTTGCATCCGTCCCAGGGCTCGGCTGACGACTCCCTCTCTGATCCCTCGGGGCTGACATTGCACGCCACACCCAGCTCCGGTGAGCAGGTAGGTCCCTGAGTTCTTGGGACCAGAAGGGCCTCACGCTTTCAGATCTGACATCCATTTGATGGCGGGGGTGGGGGTGCGAATAAGGGCCACCCAGGGGACCCGGTGGCTGTGGTTGGTCCTGCCCTTGAGTGTGGCGGTGGCTACACCAATGATAAAATTGCATCCTAGTGAACACGTCCACGTGTACAGGTGAACCTGGGCACCTCTGAATACGGTCAGTGCACTGCCCAGGCCAAGCTCCCTGCTGGGACAAGCTGTCATTCCGCAACACGTCACCACAGGATAAGTCAGGCAGAGGGTGCGAGGGTCTGTCCCCGTTATTTCTTACAACTGCGTGTGAACCTGCAGTCGTTGGAGTAGATACTTCATTTTAACTAATTGATTTTGGGGACAGGGATTGAGCCCAGGGGTGCTTAGCCACCGAGCCACACCCCCGACTCATTTTAGTTTTTATCTTGAGACAGGGTCTCGCTAAGTTGATTAGGGCCTCGCTAAGTTGCTGAGGCTGGCCTCAAACTTGCAGTCCTCCTGCCTCAGCCTCCCGAGTGGCTGGGATTACAGGTGTGCACCTGCACCTGGCAGGATTTCAATATTTGAAGAAAGGGGAAGATGGGAGGTGACAGTGGCCCTGGCGTGTCTGTTAGGAGGGGTCTGGCTTGGGAGGGGACAGAGCTGCCCTCTGTGTGTGAGGAGCGGCTGGGAGAAAGTCTGAGGATTCCAGAGAAGGTTGGCTGTGTCCTGCCAGCCGCCCCCAGGACTCCAGCCCCGTCTTAGGGACACAGGTCTTTCTTGGTCCTGGGACATGCTACACGGGGGACAGGGAGCCCCACGTCACAGAGCAGGAGGGGGAGGAATGGGGGACGCGGGCGAGGGGTACCTTGGAGGCAGCCGAGAAGCGCGAAGACCCCGCCCCGCAGGGCCGTGTGCTCCTGCCGCCCGGCCTCGATGGGGTCGTCCGCCCACAGGCTCAGCCAGTAGCCCTGGCAGAAGGAGGCCGTCTGCTGGCACAGGAAGAGGAAGAGCGTGTAGGCGCAGAGCGGGGTGCCCACGGCCCGCAGGTAGGTCAGGTACATGGCGGCCTTCACCTGCAGCACACGAGGCCGAGGGGGGTCAGGCAGGCGGAGGACGGCAGACCTCAGTGCTCCCCAGGAGGCCGCCCTCCTGCAGGCCTGGGGACCCCCTTCTGCTGTGGACCCCAGGGGCCCTCGGGAAGCTCAGAGGTGACCGGCTGGGTGACTTCTGGTTGGGAGGATTTCCTTGAACACCTCCTTGGGGACAGGCACGTCTCTGTGCTCACTCCAGATGAGGACACTGAGGACAGAGCGTGTCCCTCCTCCATGGCAGAGACCCTGCCCCAGGTGGATAAGCAAATGGACGAAGAAGGAGTGAATGGGCGGGTGGGCAGGTGGATGGATGGAGGGACAGGTGGACAGACAGACGTATGGCGGGGTGTTCAGAGGGCAGGATGGGGTGACAGGGGGTGGGGGACGAATGGAGTGGGCACAGGGTGCATGTGGGTAGATGACGAGGTGGACAGGCAGAGAGGCCCGGAAGGGAGGAACAGCCGGAGCTTTGGATCTGGGCTGCCCTAGATTTCAGTCCCGGCTTGGCCAGATGGACAAGCCCTTCACTCTCTCAGACCTCAGTTTCTCCGTCTCTGAAGTGGACCTGTCACTTCTCAGGGCGGCTGAGAGGACAGAGAGTCACGAGGGTCTGGAATCTCACTTGGACTTAGCAGGTGCTCGATAAAGGTCAGTGTCCTCCCCGCCCCCCGCCCCCATCCCCCGCCCCGTGCTCATCTGCGGGGACCCGGGCCTGGGAGAGGCAGCCACTGGTGGTTACCCGGCCATGCGGCATGCTGTCCTCAGCTGCCGGCCACCCTGCCCTCTCCGGGTCGTCTTGGAGAACTGCCATCTGGCCTTCGGAAGTGGTGGCGTCCCCTCCAGGGGTCGACCTGACGGACCTGTCATTTAGCAGGAAGGAGGACGTGTCAGCCACTGTCCCGTGGTGGGGCTGCCCAGCCCAGCAAGTGGGTCGCCACCGAGCCCTGGGGCTGGCTCCCAGCTGCCCCCTTCACCCACTGTGGGCCATGCTAAATGCCATCTAGGTCCCCAAGTCACCAAGCCCGCCCTCCAGAGTGGACCTTGTTTTCATTTTTGCCTAAGATTTGCTGCAATTGTTTTGCTTCTTCTGTTTACTCTAAGACTTGTCGGTCCAGCCTGGCAGAAGGCCGCACTGCACAATTCAGATGATAAAGAATTTTTTTCTTTTATGTTCTCTCTCTTTCCTTCTTTGTCTCTTTCTTTCTTTCTTGATAGGACCCAGGGACGCTCTACCACTGAGCTGCACCCTCAGCCCCTTTTATTTTGGGACAGTCTCACTAAGTGGCTGAGGCTGGCCTCAAACTTGCAATCCTCCTGCCTCAGCCTCCCAATAGCAGGGATCACAGGTGTGTGCCTCTGTGCCCAGCTAAGCCTTCTTGAATGTTCATGTGAGGACAAGGGGCTGACTTAGCCACTCTGTGCCTCGGTTTCCCCAGCTACACAACGGAGATAACGTCTGTCATGTCTCATCCATGTACCCACCTGTTACCATCCATTTTGGGGAGTCATCCATTGGTCCATCCATCCATCCACCATGTCTCCCCACCCACCCACCTACCTACCCACCTACCTACAGGATCTTGCTGAGGACTCTTGGGCGGGATTGCTTGTTATCTCACTCAGGGTACCTCCCAGGGTGGCTCGGTGGGTGGAGAGGGGGGCCTGTGCCCAGTCTCATACCCCCAAGGACCAAAAACCCTCAAGGCCCCCTGCATGTCCCCCCAACAACTGACACTGAAGTCCAGGTGCCTGGCGCCCAGCGTCTTGTGCTCTGTTTGGCAAGACCACCCTCCTAAGAAGGGCACCATCAGGTCCTCTGCTCACGGCCCCGGGGTGAGTCCCACTGGGCCCTGGCTGGAGGGGCTGGGAGCAGAGCCTCCTCCTGGTGACTGCTCCTATCTCGTCACCAGCCAGCGCCCAGCGACGCCTCCTGGCTGACCTGAGCCTTTGCCTGTCTGTGCGACGGCTGGGGCGGGCCAGGCCGCGTGGGCCTCTGTCTTGGAAGGCGGGCTGCCCGCTCTGGCCGGCAGACTGCTCCAACGAAGTCCCTGGCCCACTTTACGGTCTCATCACGTCAGCGGGCAGATTGTCCACCCTGTGAACTGGCCTTCTGGGGACTTCATCATTTTGGCCAGTGGACTGACGGAGTTCTGGGTGCATCGTCCTCCCGAGACGCTGTGGTCACAAGTGGTCCCTGCTTCACGCTCAGCCTGGTCCTCCCGGACCCAGCACCACAGTGGACTCACCCCTCTGGTCCGTGCTCAGGTCTCCTGCCTCCAGGGGAGCCACCAGGGTCACCAGCACTGGCCACAGGTTCCGTTCCTACAAGGTCAAGGGAGTTCTGTCACACAGTGGGGTCCCCCACAGGGTCCTTATGCCAGCTTTGACACTCGGTGCAATGTGACCTTGACCTCTGAGCACCTGTCCCCCTGATCTGGCTCCTGCTGCCGTGGGGGCGTGCTCTCTCTGCACCCCTCCGGGTTCACCCAGGACCCTTTCATTCCTCAATGTTCCCTGAGCACCTGCCGAGCCCCGGGGTTGGAGGAACAGCACTGAGCAGGTCAAGTGGCCTCCGGTTTCCCCAGTGCCTTTGCTCAAGCAGTTCCTTGTACCTGGAATGTCCTTTTCTGAACAACTTGAGCCCAACCTCAGGTGCCACCTCCCCAGGAAGGACCTCTGCCCCGCTCTCCAGGAGGGGCCAGTAACCAAAGCAGGCTGCTGGGATTTGGGGCCTGTTTGTCACACAGCACTGACCCGGCAGAAACGGACTGATACAAATGGGCAGATTCTATCTTGAAGCTCCTGGGTGGTGACACTGTGTACCAACAGGGGTCTGAGGAGGGCGGGCCTGTGCTGAGCAGCTGTCACCAGACAGGTGCCCAGGGAGGGCACGTAGCGCTTTGTGGTTAAAAGCTTATTCCTCGGAGTCCCGTCGCCTGGGCTCACGTCCCAGCCCTGCCACGGATAAGCCGTGGGTGTCACATTGGACCAGGTCCTCAACTCCTGGACTCAGCGTCCTCCTCTGAGAAACGGAGGCTTCGCCAGCTTCAGAGGGGCACTGTGCTCCTCCTCGGAGCTGACTTCAGCGAGCTGTCACCAGCTGCTGCTTGGCACTCGGGGGTGGCCTGGCAGTGGCTTTGCCTGGGGACCTCACTGCTGGCCAGCGGGCTCGGGGTTCTCTGGTGGGTCCGGAGCCCAGGCACCTCAGACCTCGCTCGGCCCGTGAGGCAGATCTGAGCATGGACCCTCGGGTCTGAACACGCCCCGGTTCTCCTCTGTGGCCTTGAGCGAATGGCATAAAGCTCTCTGCCTCCGTGTCCTCCTCTGTGAGATGGCAGCGGGGACCGCACGTGCCTGGCGGGGCCGTTATGAGAAAGGGGCGAGGTGGCCCATGATGACGGAGGTGCCAGGTGCAGCCTCGGGCTCTGCCTGGGGCAGAGGTGACCCCCTGCAGAGCCATCTGCTTCCAGGCCTGGGCCCACACCTACTGTGCGCCAGCGGGACCCTCGGAGCCCTCCCTGGGGTGGCAGGAACTGGGACGGAGTCCCCAAAGCCCAGCTCTACCTCCTTGGGCTCCGCCTGCTCGCGGTCTGGCTGCCTCCAGGAGGGCCACCAGGGCCCCCTTCCTCCGCAGAAGCTCCTGGTAGGTGCCCATCTCCGCAATGGCCCCCTCGGCCAGCACCACGATGCAGTCGGCCTGGGGCAGCACGTGGTGCGTGTGGGTCACGAGGATCCGCGTCTGGGCAGGGAAGGGGGGGTCACACTCCTGGGCTCGGCCAGTCTTTGGAAGTCCAAGTGGGAGGGGGGGCACCCCCAGGCTCACAGCGGGGCGCACGCCCTTCTCCTGTCCCGCCCTCTTTCTGGGAGACATCCAAGGAGAGACGCGGAGGGGCCTCCCGCCATCTGGGGACACTGGGCTCACTGGAAACTGGCCCAGGACCGGGCACAGCGGGGAGATGCTCAGCTACAAACAGGGAGTTGCCATAGCAACCAGGTGGGGATCCCCAGGAGACCATCATGTGCTGAGAATACCCTAAGTGACGTTGCTCAGCAGGGAGGTCCACGGTGGAGCCTTGGCTTCCCCAAGGCTGATGGCTGGCTGGCCAGGAGCGGTGACGGCCCACCGCTGCCCAGTGTCACCAGAAAGGGCTGGATCACACATCACAAGCCAGGCAGCAGTGCCCCGACCAGAATTCAAAGTGCGGCTTTCTACGGGATGCCTGTCACTTCTGCGCCATCGCGACGCCGCGAGATCTCGAGTAGTTTAACCAGAGATGCCCACACTGAGGGCCGCTGGGCTCAGCAGCTCACAGATCCTTCTCCAAACCGAGCGTGTCTCAAGCCCTAAAGCAAGTCCCAACGACACCCCCAACTTTAAATACGCTCAGGTATCTGATCAGTTCGTCATGGAAGGGAACCGCGAGTCAACTGCAAAAGATTGAACAACGACGCACTTTTGAAGCCATGGGCGAAATCAGAGGGAAGTTAAAAAATTCCTAGGATCAAACGGAAACGCGACATCTCAGAACCTGAGGGACACAGAGAGGGCAGGTGTCAGGGGAAGGTCACAGCTCCGAGCGCCTGCTCTAAAAAATCAGAGAGACCTCCAATAAACAACCCAGTGGCGGGGTTCAAGGTCTTCGAAAACCAAGAACAGACCCAGTGTAAAACCAGTAAAAATAACAAGGGTCAGAGCTGGAACTGACCACACAGAGGCTTAAAAGTGCAATACTGGGGCGGGGGCTGGGCTCAGGGGCAGAGCGCTTGCCTCGCACGTGCGAGGCACTGGGCTCGATGCTCAGCACCACGGAAAAATGAATAAAGAAAATAAAGATATTGTGTCCAGGTATAACTAAAAAAAAAATTTAAAAAGAGAGCAATACAAATGATCAACGGAACAATGACTTGGTTCTTTGAAGAGATAAGGAAGGTTGATAAACCCTTAACCAAACTGACAGAGAGAGAATCACAGATGTCAAGGGAGTATCACAAGATATCACCAACCCCAAAGGATCACCAGGTTGTAGTTTGAGAACTTACATTTCCGATAGATTGGGAAATCTGCACAAAAACTTGATGAATTTCTAGACACACAACCTACTAAGACTGAATCAAGAGAATATTTAAAAAACCCTAAAGAGATCAATAACAATAAGATTAAAGTCTCCAACAAGGAAAAGCCCAGCCATAGACGGACTCACTGTTGAGTTTTACTAGATCTTTAAAGAATTGACAGCTAAACTCCTCAAACTATTCCATGAAATAGGAAAGGAGGAGAGCACTTCCAAACACTAGATAAGGACACAACAAAAAAAGAAAATCCTAGACCATCATCCTTGATGAACCTAGATGCAAAATTCTTAAATAAAAACCTGTAACCAAATCCAACAGCACATTGGAAAGATCAGATGCCATGATCAAATTTGGTTCCATCCCAGGAATTCAAGGATGGCTCAACCTCTGAAATCAATAAGCATGATAGAGTACTTTTAAAAAAAGCATACGATGATCTCAATAGGTGCAGGAAAAGGCTCTAAACAAAATTCAACATCCCTTTATGAATAAAAGCCCTGAAAATCCAGGTGCAGTGGTGCACCCCGTGATCTCAGTGACTCCGGAGGCAGGAGGTTCACAAGTTGGAGGCCAGCCTTGGCAAGTTAGGAAAGCCACTATGGAGACAGTATGGACATTCCTCCAAAGCACTAAAACTAGAACTACCATGTGATTCAGCTTTATTTCCTCAGCACAGACCCAAAGGAAATAAAGTCAGCAGAATAAAGTGAGACACAGTTAGCCAAGTGATGAAATAGCCTAGGGGCCCATCAACAGATGAACGGATAAAGAAAATGTGGTTTGTACACACAATGGAGTGATATTCAAGTCATAAAGAAGAATGAAATCCTGTCATTTGCAGGAAAATGAATGGAACTAGAGATCGTCGTGTTCAGTGAAAAATAAGCCAGACAGGAAGACAAGTATTAAGTGGATTTTGGGGGCGTGGGAGAGATGAAAGTAGGAAGGAGACCATCAGAGGAGCAGAAGGGGACCAGGAGGAGGAGGAGGGATGGTAATGGAGGATGGATATGTTTAAAGTATGCTGTTTGCACCTACAAATATCTTGCAATGAAGCCTGTTATTCTGTATAATTAAAATGCACTAATAAAAGAGTGCTGTCATAAACCACTGAGATTGGGGGGGGGATTCTTTGTTACGTAGCACTGTCACAACAAAAGCTGACCAATACAAAGAGGAAAATTAGACCCAAGGAGCGGGTGGTAGACAGATCTGGGTTAGGACTGAATTCTAAGGGCTTCTGCTCTTGCCCTGTTGATTCTGACATGTGTTCCCAAACTCACTGTCCCCTGGAGAAGCCCGCCAGGCCCGATGACCTGGGTGAAGACGTGCTGGCCGACATGGGCATCCAGGGCTGCCAGGGGGTCGTCCAGCAGGTACACGGCAGCCTTTCTGTACACGGCCCGGGCCAGGCTCAGCCGCTGCTTCTGGCCCCCGGAGAGATTCATGCCCTGTGGCCAGAGAGGAACAGGGACCCAAGTCTGCACCGGCTGGGCGGTGCTGGGACGCGTGGACGGTGTGGGTTGGCCAGGGTAGGGCGCAACCCCCGGGTCCTCAGGGTGGCCTTCCCCAGCCTACTGCTGGATCCATGTACACTCGCTGCTTGTCTCTGCCTGGCTCACGGCTCCACTCAGCCGGCTTCCTCCACGACATCACCTTTGTGGTCCCTCCCCTGATGTCCCTGATGCTCCATCCAGCAACGGCTTCCGGTTCTTATTTCTTTCCATTCAGCCAACATCTACCACGTGGCTGCTCTATGGCCAGCTATGGTCTAGGGCCTGAGGACTCAGCCAGGGACAAGGCCCTGCTCTCCTGGCCTTTCATTGTAACAAGGGTGGGGTGAGGGACAGAGAGAATCCAAAGCCCAGACAAGGGACCTGCATGGCGTGTGGGGAGTGTGGAATGAGAGCTGGGATGCGCACACCGCTGTTCAGCAGAGGGGTGAGCCCCCCGTGGCTCCACGGGGAGAGCTTCCCCGCAGAGGGAGGCAGGTGCAAAGGCCCTGAGGTGGGAGCGTGCCTCGGGTGTTCAGGAAACATAGCAGAGACCCCGCGACTGGACAGAAGCAGGAAAGGGGGTGGGTATGAGGGGAGATGGGCAGAGAGACAGGTGGGGACAGATGGCAAGAGGCCTTGTCAGGGACGGTCGGGACTTGGGCTTTGCCTTGAGGGAAACGGGGGGCCAGGTGGGTTCTGTGCGGAGCCAGGAGTGGTCTAGCTGCTGTGGCGGGCCTGGTCAAAGGGGCCATCGGGGGGCTCCTGCAGCAGGCAGGGAAGGGCTGGTGGTGGACGGAGCCACGGTGCATGGGTCTGGGTGCGGGATACAGGAGGAGGAGGCTCTAGGCCACCAGACATTCGGCCCAGGGTGTGACACAGCTGGACAGACGTGCCCCCTCCTGTTTGAAGCACTTCCGGGTCTCCCTTCCAGGGGCCTCCCTCTGGCCACTCTCGGGCCTGGCCCTGCTCTCCTTGGCCTCCCTGGGCAGCTCCCCTCCGCCCCTGGACTTGGAGTGTCCCGTATTGTTTTGGAGCACTCCGGTCGTACATGACGGGGATCCGCCGTCCACAGTCCCCGCTCGCCCCGGCCCTGGAATTTGACTTCCGAGGGGTCCCTGACCCGGTGTCTGGTCTAGTTGTCCGAAAGCCCCGGCCACTAACCCACTGACCCCCGCCATGGCCTCGGCCTCTCCCTGGCCTGTTTCCAGTCACGGATTCGTTAATGACCGCGAGCACCCACTGCACCCTTGACCGCCCGCTTCCTGTGCCCTCTGCCCCTCAGCACTTTGCCCACGGGCCAGGGCGGCCGAGGTCCCTCCCCCGATGGCCCTGTGCCAAGAAGGCGGGCCCCACCTGCTCTCCGATGCGGGTGTGGACGCCCGCCGGGAAGCTGTCCACGTCCGGCCGCAGGGCGCAGGCCTCCAGCACCGTGTCCAGCCAGGGCAGGTCCAGCGGCCGCCTGAAGCACACGTTCTCCACCACGGAGCTGTTCTGGACCCAGGCCTCCTGGGGCACGTACGCCACAGGGCCCTGCGACACAGCCAGTTTGGGTGACCGAGGTGGGAGCCCTTCGGGGGGCGGGGGAGCTGGCCCTGAGGGGGAGGGGGGACGCAGAGCCGATGCCAATCAGCTCGGCTGGGAGCGGGGGCGCGGGAGGACGTGGGCACGGGGGGCTCAGGATGGGCATCTTAGCAGCCGGGGCGGCCTCACCTTGATGCTCACGGACCCCTCCACCGTTGACAGCTCCCCGAGGAGGGCGGACAGCAAGGAGGACTTCCCTGACCCCACGGGACCCACGACAGCCAGGAGACACCCCTGGGGCACGGTGAGGCTGATCCTGGCCACGAGGAGGGACAGCATGCAGTTCTCCGGGTCTGTGCAGGATAGGTGGCCCCCGACACCGCGCCTCTCCCGCCAGCCCGCCCGCCCGCCACTCCCTGCGGCGCCCTCCGGCCCCAGGCTGGACGCCACACGCCTCCCAGGCAGGACTCACAGCTGCCCCTGCACCCTCTCCCCCTAAGTGTGAAGGCTCCCCCCGGGCGGGGCCATCAGTACCTGTGCAGGCAGGGAGGCCCTTCCCGGGACCAGGCGAAGGTGCCGTTGTGGATGGCCACGCAGTCCTTCCCGGCAGCTGCAGGACACAAAGCCAGTTATTGCAGGGTCACTCTGCCCCGAGGCCACCAGCCATTGCCCAGGAGACAGCAGGATACCCCCAGAGAGCCAGCCCCTGCCACTCACCAGCTTACGGTGACCCCACAGGAAGCCACCCCGCCTGCCCTCTATTTGTATGAGTGGAGAGTTACTGAAACGCGCCACGCCCACTCCTTCCTGCTAAGGTGGCAGTGACCATGTGGCCCAGGAGCCCGAATTAGGTACAATCAAGTCCTTTGCAGAAAAAGAAGAGTTTTACATGATTCATCACCTGACCCCAGGGCTGTGGCACGGGAGGGAGGCAGTGTCGATTTTACGACTGGAGCCCTGGGGACCTGAGTTCTTCAGTCCCTTAGAGACTCATGGGCACCCGTAAACTTGACCGTCTCCAGGGAGGATGCCCGATCCAACGGAGAACCCCCACTTAAATGTGAACTCCCAATAGTGGTTTTTTTTCCTTAGCATACATATGCCCCAAATATTGCATGGGACATGATCATAATGAAAGGTTTATTAGAGAATAAATTGCAGATTCAGAGTGAACTGGGCATCCCGGGTGTGGGCCTGGGAGTCTGGGATCCCGCTCGTCATCTGAGGGGTGGGGCTTCCCCTCCTCCTTCCCCTTCCGTAAGACTTGGCGAGGGTCATCCGGAGGCTCAGGGGAGCTCGGGTCTACACCGGGCACTTTGAATGGTGCTTGCACACGGAAGTGCCCGTCCAGTCTAGCTGCGGGTGTTTGTGTTCGTCTCACTCTGGCATAGCTTTGAGAGAGGGCGGCTCTGGCCCCAAGCAGGTGACCAGCTGGGTCAAACTCATGACTAAAGTAACACCCAGGGGTCTGTGGTTGGTGGCCCTTCAGTGGGGGTGACATCACAGTCATGAGAGACCCCAGCCTATTGACGGAGCAGTCCTAATGCCCAGGGGCTGCCATCTCCTGCAGCCCCCGGGACGATGTGGGCAGAGGGCATCCGAGTCCAGGAGGGGAGGAGGTGCTGCCCAGGGCCACACAGCTGGGGCGGACATCCCAGGACTTGAACCCAGGACTTGGGTCTGAACTGCTGAGTCACACCCACAGGGTCGAGCAAAGCTGTGTGCAGCCGAAGGTGTGTCAGGGCCCTGGGTGTTGCTGTTTCTGGGTTTTTTGCAACAATCACTAATGACTAAGTACTCTGGGCTCAGGCTGGGTGCCAGGCCCTGGGCTATGGGCCGAACCTGAGCCCGTGGACCCTCACCCCGAGCCCAGGGAGCAGGTTCCTGCAGATGGGGGCACCAAGGCCCCAAGAGGTTGACAGCTAGTCAGGGCCACCTGGCTGGTCAGTGCTGCAGCCAGGATTTGGACCTGGCCGTCCACTGCCATGGGCTTAGCATCCAAATGAGCAGGTTGACCAGATGCCCGAGCCACAACATAACCTGGTGACAGGTCCCACCTCACCCCAGCAGGAGTTGACGTCACTATGACCTACAAGAGGTGGTGAGAATGCCCAGGGCAGAACAGAGAAGCTAACTAGTAATAGTAACTAGGTAACTAGTGCTTGGTGAGTCTCATACTATGATGGTGCCTGTAACTCATTTTCTAGCTGGGCAAACATGTCACTGTGTCACAGGGTGCCGTGGCACATGCTGGTAGTCCCAGCGGCTCGCGAGGCTGAGGCAGGAGGATCTCAGGTTCAAAGCCAGCCTCAGCAAAAGTGAGGCCCTAAGCAACTCAGTGAGACCCTGTCTCTAAATAAAATACAAAACAGGGCTGGGGATGTGGATCAGTGGTCGAGTGCCCCTGAGTTCAATCCCTGGTACCGCCCCCCCCAACAAATGTCGCTGTTTCTCTTCCTGGACTGTGAATGAGGACAAGGACCTGGGCCCAGTGTTCAGTGCTGTGCACCTGGAACAGCACCCCATGGGGGCTCCAGGGGTCACCCTGCACACCCAGCAGGACAGTCCCCCGTGATGCCTGATTTCCACATGGTGAGAGGTCTGTCCCTGCCACCCCCTGCCGCAGCCCGGCCATCTCCCCAGGTGGGGGCGCTCTTCCTGTCCATGTCCCCCCATCCCCCCGTGCCCTCCTGCTGAGCTTGGCCCTCACCCAGGCTGGCGGCCTTCACGTCCTCCGCACTGGGGTCAACTTCCTCCAAGCTCAGGAAGGCAGCCAGACGGTTGAAGGACACCCAGGCCTGTGGAAACCAGGGCCCCGGGTCACCCAGCCAGAAGAGCAGGAGCCCAGCTTCTGGGGCAGGTGCCCAGGACGCGTGACTACGGTGTCCTGTCTACCGAGCCCCGCGGGTTTGCAAGGCGTTAGAACGAAGCCTCTGTGCACATGTGGAGGTGGGGACCGTGATGGCAGTGGGGACCTCTCCCACCTCCTGGCTCCTAAGTAGCAAAACTGCAACAATCAAGCGCCGGAAAAGGTGGTGGCTTTTCCCACAGCCTCAAGGCAAGATGAAAGATCATGTCGGACTCTGTCCACCGGGGGGCACCCTCTCAGCTCCCAACCACAAGCCCACCTCTGGGGACCGGGAGGCAGCCCTGGAAATGCAGCAGCTCTGACGGGCAAGTGCCCAGGGATGCTCAGGACAGAGCGGGCAGCGAGTAAAGCTCTGGATGAAAGGGACCGGGCAGGGACTCCTGCACCAGGGCTTGCTGCGCCCTTGGAGGACCTGTGCTGCGGTCCCCGTCACCCTCTGGACCCTTTCCGATGGCTCCCTGCTACCCTCTGCTCCATGTCACGCCTCCTCTCCCTCCCTCTCCTCCTCTGCCTGCAGGGGTGGCCGGCACGGGGCCCTCCCCGCTGGCCCCACCTGGACAAGTAAATGGACGGAGAAGGGCAGGAAGGCCTGGGCTTTGTTGAGGATGCCCAGTACGGTCAGGGTCACGAAGGCCTTCTCCGCGTCCATGGCGTTCTCCTCGGCCACCAGAGTGTGCACCGCAAACACCACCAGGGCAACCTGGAGGGGCACCCGGCGCTGACCGTGAGACGACGGCCGAGCGTGGCCGGGAAGATGCCCCGCTGCGCGGCCTCCAGGGTCAGCGTGGGGTCCCCACCCGGGCACGCCCTCCCCCAGCCCAGGCTCTGCAGGGGAACCGGCGGCGTCACCAGAAACGTGGACACTTGGAAGGACACCAGGGACACGGAGAAGAGAAGGGTGGACGTCCTCAGGGCGCCCAGCTCCTGGCCCCGGATGCGCAGGATCCTCTCCAGGAAGGCCTCCTCCCAGCCGTGGGCCTTGATGGTCCCCATGGTCCTGAGGACGGAGCTGGTGAGCCGCGCCCGGGAGTCCTTCTGGCGCATCTGCTCCTCCTGTGACCCGCGGGAAGCAGAGAAGGGCGAGAAGATCAGTGGCCACCTTAGAAGGCAGAATCCCAGGGGACAGCAAAGGTCAGAGGGCGAGGGAACAACTGGGGACTCAGCAAGGGACGGGGTGGCTGCCGCTGTCCAGGTCGGAGACTGGGGGCTGGAGAGCCCACCGTGGAAGGGGTCATGCTCTGGATGGGTGCCCAGGTCCGAGTCGGGGCACAGTCGTGCCAGGGCAAGGGCAAGTCAGGCCTGCAGGACCCCCCCCCAGTCTCTGGTGCCAGCGGGGGCCCAGGACCCGTGAGCACCCCCCACCTCCTGATTGGCACGTCCCTGCTCCCAGAGCCAAACCTGATAGTGGCCCTTCTTCTTAGTGATGAAGAAATTCAGAGGGAGGAGGCCCAGGAAGACAGCGATGGCCGTGAGGGCTGAGGGTCCTAGAAGCTGGGGACAGAGCAGGTGGGGGGCACGAGACCCCCGGGGATGTGGTCAGACGTGGGTCCTCACACAGGCAGATGTCAGGGTGGGGGGCTCACGGGGGTCCACGGAGGAGACGCCTGAGGAACATGGGGTCCTTCTGCCAGGGTGGGAGCTGTCCACCTGGGGTGGGCGGGGTTAGATTCCAGGTGAGTCACCCATGTCACCAGGGGGGGCACTGGGCACTGGGTGGACAGTTCCCTTCATTTATAAGGCATTGGCGCCACCCAGTGGCTCAGTGGAGAAGTGTCTAGAAGGCACACGCCCGCACCCAGCTGGAAAGACCCTAAGGAAACAACTGGTATCGCCTAACTGTGGCACCCCGAGCCCAGCCCTCCTTAACCTGCACCGCGTGGTGACCCTCTGATGATTGGGACTGTCTTCTAAGGGCTGGGTGATGCACTCCTCAGGGAGGGCACCTGCAGGGCTCTCAGTCCCTGGTTTTTATCACGGTCACCGTCTCCTTGTTCGACCTCCTTGAATTTCTCCACATTTCCTCCCTCCCTCCCCCTCTTTATTCTGAATAGAAACATCCAGTGTTTCTATCCTGCACGTCAGGTACTGCCTGAAAGCCTCTGTGTCCTTGCTGAGCACCTGCTGTATGCAAGGCCTTGAAATACAGAGAAAGGTCCTTCCCCGTGGGCACTGCCAAAATAATGATGTGCACGGGCACCAGAGGGCATGCAGGAGGATCTGCCCCTCGTGCTCAATCAGCATGCCACCCACGGACCCACCCAGGGCCTGTCGTCACTGGCACAGGGGCTTTTGTGTCTCCCAGGAGCTCTGCAGGAAGTTCTAAATGGCATTTACAGTTTAAATCGTTGTGAAACTTGAAGACTGTTTCATGACATGTGACAATGATGTGGAGTTCAAGTCGCAGTGTCCATAAAGAGAGTTCTGTGTGGTGCGGGGGATTGAACCCAGGGGTGCTCTGCCTCTGAGCCTCATCCCCAGCCCTTTTGAACATTTTATTTAGAGTCAGGGTCTCACTGAGTTGCTTGGGGCCTCGCTAAGTTGCTGAGGCTGGCTTTGAACCCGTGATCCTCCTGCCTCAGCCTCCTGAGTTGTTGGGGGTACAGGCGTGGGCTGCCGTGCCCAGCCATCACACCCAGGGGTTCAGCATCGTCCGAGGTTGCTTTTGCATCCTGAAGACAGAACTGAAGAGTCGAGAGAGCGACCTGCGGCCCCCTAAGCGTAAAATGGCCACCGTCCGGTCCTTTATAGATAAGCTTGTGAGCCCCACATCCACCCTGGAGCAGGACAGCTAAGCGCTAGATGGTCCCAGGAGCTCTTTAGTTATCAGGGACACTAGCAAAACCCACAGAGCCGCTGTGGGCCTCTGTCCTGTTCTTCACGGGCACGGGTTGGACACCCGAATCTGAAATCAAAATGCTCCAAGATCCAGCACTCTCAGGAGGCTGCAATGGGAGCGTCCACACTGACCTCGAGGGTCACAGTCAAAACACAGGCAGACTGAAAACATTGTATGGGACACCGTCAGGCCACGTGGGTGAGGCGCATTTGAAACATAAGCGGGTTTGCTGTTTAGACCTGGGCCCTCCCCACGAGATCTCAGGAGGCGTCACGCAGATATTCCAACATCGCAAAGTCCTGCCACCCTCACCGCCTCGGGCCAGGCATTCCACACGAAGGCTGCTCACCCTGCAGAGCCAGTGAACCCCAGCGGCCCTAGGACAGGGCGTTATTCCTGATTGCCATCTCTTTTTAGATGGGGAAAGGGGCCCATGACCAGGGTAAAGGTTTCCAGTCAGTAAGTGGTCAGGGCAGGACTTGAACCCAGGAGCTACTGAGAGAGTTTGATTTTAATCAAAAGAACAACTGAACTTGGTGGCGCACGCCTGTCATCCCAGTGGCTCGGGAGGCTGAGGCAGGAGGATCTCGAAAGCCAGCCTCAGCAAAAGCGAGGCCCTAAGCAACTCAGCGAGACCCTGTCTCTAAATAAAATACAGATAGGGCTGGGGATGGGGCTCAGTGGCCCTGAGTTCCACCCCTGGTACCAAAATAAAATAAATAAATAAAATAAAAAAGAGTCCTCTCTCTTTTCTCTGTCTCATTACTTTTTCTCTTTTTTTTTTTTTTTTTTTTTTTTTTTTTTGGGGGGGGGGGGCCGTTGGTTGCTCAGGTAACAATCTCTTTCCCTGTAAAAGGGTCTTTTACTATCGTTTTGCTGTGTGCCGGGGTCTGGACCCCCCAGCAGTACTGATACCTTGTGCCCCATCTGCCTCCTGGTGACCCCAAGACCCTCCCTGAGAAGCCTCAATGCCATCGGCAGAGACTCCATCTTGCAAGAGGGGAAACCGAGTCCCAGAGGGGCCGAGCCCCGCGCGTCCCTAGGGCTTCTCCCTCTCCCAAGCCCCGCCCCTCCGCCCCGCACCTGCCACAGGTAGGTGAAGCAGAGGCAGATCCAGAGCAGCAGCAGCCAGGAGCTGTTGAGGTAGAGGACGCTCTCCGTGAGCCGCGGCACGTCCACAGACAGCAGGTTGACCACGTCCCCCACGGCGCTGGCCTTTCTGGCGCTGCTGGACAGGGCCAGGACCTGGGCCGGAGGGACAGAGGGGCTGAGGAGGGGAGGAGCCTGTGAAGTCCCCTGTGCCCACCTCCCGGGGCTGTCCTGAGCGTCCAGGCGGAGTCCCTAGAGCTCTGGCGCAGCAAAAATCCACAGCCCCGATAAATACACCAGCTTCAGCAAGGTCACGGAGGTCATGTGCCAAGTGCCAACCCGGCCCCGGGCTCAGCCGTGCCCCACACAATCCCAAACGCCCAGACAGAGCCCTCTCCGGCTTTGAATCCCCAGGGAAAATATCCCCAGTAAAACTGGGACCCTCGAGATGCGTCCTGACTGCAGAACTGCTAAAGGGTGAAAAGAGACAGCCATCCCGGGTCAGGGAGCCGCACACTTATTACCCCACTGGGCAGCCAAGGGGACCGAGGCCCCGAGGGGTTGAACAACTTGCTCAAAGTTGAGGGGGGCGGCTGGTAAATGCTGAGCTGGGATTGGAAACCAGGACCAGCAAGGCGTGATGTGGGCCAGGCGTGATGTGGAACCACGCCCCCACGATTCCACGGCCTCGGACCCCGATCCTGTTCCCCCCGACCCGGGGGTCACAGTGGACCCCTTCTGGCCTGTTGGATGTCGGACTCTACCTGCGATCCTCTCTTTGCTGGTGTGTGAGGGTGAGAGTGAGCTGGGCTGGGGGTGCAGCTCTACAAGGGACAGCCACCTGTGCCCCTCCCTGAGCAGCCAACCGGCACCAGGGACTGGAGTTCCAAAGGGAAGGACACCCAAGCCTTTCACAATGGGTTCAAGGGCAGCGAGGGGCAGCCCGAGGGGCAGCGGAAGTCCGGCTCATTCATCCAGGGATCAAAGGGCTTCCTCTTTAGCTCAGGAAACAGGTGAACTCGGGAGACTTGAGAGGCCACACCCAACTCCGATGCTGAGTGGGACAGGAGCCTGCACAGAGCAGGCTGGCCGGGCAGCATGCCAGGGCCATCCAGGACGGTGCCTTGTCCCCTCTCCTGCGGGTGGCAGCTCAGGGGCTGGGAACACCCTCATTCAGTTGCTGCAGACCCCCTGGAGCCAGGATCCGTGGCAGCTTGGTGGGCCTGGCCCCCAGGGTCCCCTGAGGGAGCACAGTCACTGCCCAGCTCTGGCTGCCCAGGGGGTGGTCACAGTCGTCACAGAACCTCCAGGCCATGGCACTGGACAGTGGCCCAGAAGTCACTCCACCCTAAGCAGTGCTGCCTGGTGACAGGGGACAGTCCACCACAGCCAGAGGCTGTCATGAGCAGGAGTGGACACTCCCAGAGGAAGAGGAGGTGGATACAGTGACAGTCACGACCCTGCTCAGGAAACTCAGGATAGAGGGACGTCCAAGGTCAGGGCTGTGTGTGTGCATGTGTGTGTGTGTGTGCATGTGTGTGCGTGCAAACTTGGGGATCCTCCTGTCTCAGCCTCCAAAGTCACTGGGCTCACAGGCACGGGTCCCTGGGCCTGGCTTAACGTCAGAGGGCTCATGAGTGTCTACACCAGGTTTGGAAACCAGGACCACTAAGGCACGACCCAGCTTAGGCAGGACATTGAGCTGACCCGGCAGTAGGAATCCCAAGCGCCAAAGCCCCAAGGTGGGAGCACACCGGGCAGGTTTGAGGACCTGAGAGGAGAGCAGCATGGCAGGAGGAGGGGGAGCGTGGGAGGAGGAGGAGCTGTGGGACGAGCTTGGAGGGGTCTCAGGGTCAGATCACACGGGGCCTGACTAGAAGAACCAAGGAGATGAGAGTGCAGGGAGTGAAGACTCTGTTCTCAGCCCTGAGGGTATCATCGAGAGCCCAGGGACACCGTCCCCTCCAGCCTGGACAGGAGGGCGTGAGTGCCCCGGGGCTCACCTTCCGGTACACCAGGCCGGTGATGGCGGTGCGCAGCCTCATCTGCAGCACCTTCACCCTGTACATGAAGTGCTGCTCGAACAGCGTCTGCAGGCAGGCTGCGAGGAACATCAGGGTGGCCAGGAGCGGCCCCTTCCAGGCGGGGGCCTCGGGGCTGTCCATGAACTCCAGGAACAGGCTGGGGGAGGGGGAGGGCAGCGGATGAGGCCAGCACCCCGCAGCTGCCCGCCAAGGCCCAGGGGCGCAGACCCCTCCTGCAGAGGGCCGTCCCCCGCATCCTCGCTCCTTCCCATGAGGCCTGGGGCTCCTCCTGCAGAGCTGAGATCCCCCACCAGGAGGCAGCGCCCCCCAAAGAGGGCATTGACGTCAACCAGGGCCAACAGGGTCCTCATCCCATCTGCCTAGTGTCCCCCGGGACCCCCAAGGCGGGGCCACGCAAGGACACGGTGGGTGAGGAGTGGCCTTGGGAGAAGCCCACCCCGCCGCCGTCTTCACCTTGGGCTTCAGCCTCCAGACAGAGGGACGGTGAGTCCAGTGGTCACCCATTTTGTGGTGCTCTGTCACAGGGGACCTAGGGACTCACACTCGGGCCCTGACATCTGGCTGGAGGGGACGCTGCTAGCTCCCAGCCACGGCCTCAGGAGCACATGCCACTTTGTCCCCTCTCCTGGACCCTTCCAAGTGGCCATGGGAACAGGCCCCAGCTAGCCTTCTGCACGTGCAGGAGAGAGAGCGGAAAGTGTCCCTGGTGAGACGGTCCTAGCAGAGCCACCTCCAGGGTTCCAATGGCGCTGGCGGGAGGCACCTGCCTAGCGCACCCAGGGCCCCGGGCTCCGTGCCCAGCCCAAAGGAATGTAAGGAAATGAAACCGGCAGAGCCAGTGTCCAGCCAAACCAGGAGCCGGAGGAGGACACCCGGGTGGACCCCGGCAGAAGAAGGTCCGCCCAGTGGATCCTAGCCGGGATGCCACCATATTGTCACAGCCCAACAAACACATGCCTGGTGGCTCTGCGTCCCTCACCTTGGGGTGGTTTATAGCCAGAAGCGAGTGACCCAGGCAGGGGAGGGTCACCCCCTGACCTCAGGGACACTTCTCCTCTTCCCGCCTCCATGCCCCGCCCGGGTGCTGAGCACCACGCGTCCAGGAAGAGGCCGCAGGAGACCGCAGCCCTGGAAGGACGCCGTGGGGCCGCCACCTCGGCCAGACGCCCCACCTACCTGAGGAGCTTGGGGACAGAGAACCTGAAGGCGTCACTGATGACCAGGCTGAGGGTCCCCAGCAGGAAGGTGGAACGGAACACCCGGCAGATGGCCCTGAGCAGCGGTCCCCGAGGGCTCCCCCCCTGCTGCAGGAGGGCCTCCTTCTCCGCAGCCTCCGTCTCTGCGGCCTCCGTCTCTGCGGCCTCCGTCTCTGCGGCCTCCTTCTCCGCAGCCTCCGTCTCTGCGGCCTCCGCGCCGCGGCGTCCCTTGCTCTTGGACACCTTGGTGCGCCTTCGGGGAGAGGAGAGGGTGCCGGGTGCTGCCCACAGGCTGAGCCGCCCGGCAGGTGCCGGCCCCCGGGGTTCTGTTCCCCACGACAGGGGGCGGGCGAGACCTGCCGGCGCCGACACCCAGGGGACTCCATCAGGATGGGCAGCGGCGGGAGCGGGAGGGCCGGCAGGCAGCCCGTGGCCTTGGGGCCACCGTGGGAGGCACCTGTGGAGCTGACGGGGTGCGGGCACTCCTGCGTCCTCCCAGGAACCCTGCAAGCCTGGTGTCCCCTCTTCTGCACAGACGAGGAAACCGAGGCTCAGAGGGGCCCGTGGACGGGCCCAGGGTGCGAGGCTGGGACCAGAAGGACTCGGGCAGAGGCTGGAACCAGGGGCCCCGCGGCCGAGCTGCATCCCAGCCCCCAGTGTGTTCTGAGACAGGGTCTCCCGAAGCTGCGGAGGCTGGACTTGAACTTGGGGGTCCAAGTGACAGGGTGGACTTTGCTGACCGAGAACCGGCCTGAGCCCCGGCCCCAGCCCTCACCTCTGGGCCACGCGGCGGCTCCTCCTCCATTCCTGCTCCAGCCGGGAGACCAGCTCTTCAGAGGAGTTTCCTTGCTCGAGTGACCAGAAGTCCTTTGGTCCCAGCGGCTTCCGGTAGCCCCTCCAGAGCAGCCTGTCCAAGAGGGACACCGAGGCCCGTTTCTCCAGCCGCCCATCCCGGGGGCCCCAGCCGGCAGCCGTGTGACCCTGGGCATGTCACTGTGGCTCTCTGTACCTCTGTTGGGCCCTGGGTCAGGGAAGGCAGCCGACCTCAGCCCACCTGACATCGGCGGGGCACCCCTCGGTTACGAAGAGGGTCTCACTTATTCTCAGGGGAGCCCGTCCGCTAGATGATCATTGGCCCATTTTACAGATGATGACGGACACAGAGGCTCAGAGGGATGACGAAGTGACTTCACCAAGGGACAGCTGACATCGCTAGGGCAACAGACCCCTCCCCGAGGGTCAGAAGTCCAGGGGCTAAAACGCTCAGAGTGGAGGGGATCTGAACTCCTCCCCCAGCTAAAAATACCTCTCCTCCTCCGCTGGCCCAACCAGCAGCCTCAGGGCCTTTGCATACGCCTGACACACTGCTAAAATCCCGTTTCCTGCCACCCCTCCTCTGGCCGTTTCTTACTCATCATCTGAGCTTACACCTGACTTCTTAGGAAGGTCCCCCTGGACTTCCCAGCCCCGGTGGATTGCATTCTAACTGCCTGGGGTCTCCTGAGCCTCATTTTAAAAGAAAGTCAGTTGCCACGATGATCTCCATTTTTTACCTAATTATCTACTTAGTGTCCCCTCCTCCAGCAGATGGCAAGTTCCCTGGGCAGGGGCAGTACTGTCCACCTCCCTGTCTTGTGTTCCCGCATTCTGGCAGGGTTCTGTGACCTTGGGGCACGTCCCTAGGTTTCAATTTTCTCACTTTAAAAGTGAGACATGTCCTGCAGATGGCCCGAGGTGACTGAGGCCGGCACATACAGGAGAAATTAAACTCTACGGACGTCTGCGGAGGGAGCCTTGCTTTCTTTTCGGGTCTCTTTGATCTTTCTGATGACACCTGGGAGGTCCTCCGGGTGTCACCTCTCTCTCTAGGACTTGCCAAGTGCCCTTTTAGTCTAAGACACAGTGATCTTGGGCACCCACCGGCCTGACCGGGACGGGGTTAACCCAGCTTGCCGTGCCCTGAGGAGTTTTCTTCCGGAGTTTTCTACAGGGCAGGGGATTTGACTGACTTTCCAAGTCTGGACAGTGACGGTAAGATTCCTTTTTAAAAAGTTCATTGAAGTTTTTTTTTTTTTTTTAAAAAGTGAGTTTTTAAAAAGCGAGCTCACTGGGGAGGGCGGAGGACACCCCCATGTGGCAAAGAGCAGGAAAAGCCACCCTTAACTAAGTTAAGGAAGCAGCAGCGAGACCCCCGGTGTGTGTGTGTGTGGGGGGGGGGCTGCCAAGGAAACTTCTGGGCTCTTCCACCAAGTCCACACATCCAGAGGCCCCCGTTCCTTGTTGGTGTGACGACCCTTTTATGTAACACTCTCTACGCACCAGGCCCCACCTAAGGGCCTCGTCAACTTTGTCTTATTCAACCTTCACAGCCCACGAGGGGGATCCTGTCATCCTTCCTGTTTTGTAGGTATGGGGACTGAGGCACAGAGAGGTAAAGTAGCTTGTCTAGGGCCACACAGCCAGGATCCACGTCCATGTGGTTGGGTGCTACTGAGGTCTGACTGCAGTGCGTTCAGGAGGGGGTCTGGTGGGTGGGCACATCCCCCGTGCCGGGGGGGGGGGGGCTGGCCCTAGAGGAGCAGCCGGGGCCCCTCGGGCAGTAGAGCGTTGGCCTTTTGCATCTTACTCCTGGTGGTCAGCACAGAGTAGGTGCTTATTAAACGCTAGCAGAACGACTAAAGCTGTGCTCAAGCATGAGGCCCTTTCCATTTACAAAGGCAGAGCGGTCCCCAGGTCACAGAGGGCTAATTGGAGACCCCGGGGATCTGTGACATGGCCCCTAAGAGGCAGAGCCAGGGTCCGAGTCCAGATCACACCCCAGAAAGTGAAGTGGGCCCAGGTATGTGGGACACTGACCGGAGGCAAGCCCCCGGCGGGAAAGCCGGGCCAGCCCTTGTGAGCTTGGGAGGGGCCCCAGGGGGAGTCAGGCAGCAGCCTGGGTGGCTAGGACCCCCAGCCCCTTCCCGCCACCATGCTTACCCCGAAATCCACCAGAACATGGCTCTGGAGGGGAAGGACGCTCCAGCCTTTGGACATGGATTCTGCAAAAGATGAAAGATGGGGGAGGGGGAGGCCTCAGCGCACACCCAGGGAGGGTAGGTGACCACGGTCAGGAAGACAGGACGGACCGGCCACGCACTCCGCACTCAGAATGCACCCTGAGGGCACTGCCTCCTTGTCACGTCGAGGAGCGTGGTGCTTCCTAGCAGGCAAGGTGAAAATGGACTGAGCTACAGACTGGGAGAGTCCACGCAGTCAGAAATGAGAGCGGCTCAGGAGAACAGCTGTCCACACCAAGACCAAGAAGTTCTCAAAGAAGGACCATGTCCTCAACGATGTCCCTCAGCCAGGGCTGGGAAGAGGGCACTGTCCACTTCACAGAAGAAACACGAATGGTCAAAAAATACATGGGAAAAAATGTTCATCATCTCTAGCAATTAGAGAAATGCAAATCAAAACTACACTAAGATTTCACCTCACTCCAGTCAGAAGGGCAGCTTTTGAGAATACAAACAACAATCAGCGTTGGCGAGGATGTGGGAGAAAGGCGCACTCATACGTTGCTGGTGGGACTGCAAATTGGTGCAGCCAATCTGGAAAGCAGTATGGAGATTCCTTAGAAAACTTGGAATGGAACCACCACTTGACCCAGCTCTCCCTCTCCTCGGGCTATATCCAAAGGACTTAAAATCAGCACCCTACAGTGATGCAGCCACATCCATGTTTATAGCAGCTCAATTCACAAGAGTCAAACTAGGAACCAACCTAGAGGCCCTTCAACAGATGAATGGATAAAGAAAATGTGGCACATACACACAATGGAATATTGCTTAGCAGTGAAGAAGAGTGAAATTATGGCTTTGCTGGTAAATGGATGGAACTGGAGACTATCATGCTAAGTGAAATAAGCCGATCCCCCCAAAACCAAAGGCCAAATGTTTTCTCAGATATGCAGATGCTGATTCACACTAAGGCGGGGGCACAGCTAGGAGAGATTAGGGGGACTTTGCATTAGGCAGAGGGGAGTGAAGGGAGGGGAGGGGTATGGGGGTAGAAAGGATAATAGGAAGAATCAGACTTTATTACCCTATGTGCATCCTACTGTCACGTAGAGCTCATTAGAACAAAGTTTTTAACAAAGAGGGCTCTTTCCTGAGATTTCTGTCAGCTGACCCACAAAGTTGCGCAGTCTACCCTCGTCACCAACAAGTCACAAAAGCGCCCATGTCACTCCATGGTGGCCATCCCAACTTGTTATCAATTATTAGGTTTTTCTTTGTTTCCGTCCTGACAGGCACAGAAAAGTCCGACGGCCGTTCTGAACAGCTCACCCCCGTGAGCAGGTGTAGAGCTGGCGGCGGCCCGGCTCTTCCTCAGAAAATTCTCCCTTGATTCCCCAGGTGCCTGCTTCAGTGGCACGTGTCGGGGACTCAGGGGCCTGAAAGTCTCCTGCCAAGCACCTCCCCAGGTGTCACCTCCCCGACGTCTGCGCAGTTATGTGACCGCTAACTGCCTGGGGTGGGCACCCTGTCTGCTGCTCACCAGATCCTCAGCACCCGGCAGGAGCCCAGGGCCGGGGACAGCGCTGTGGCCTCCAGACCAAACCCAGCCCACCGCCTGCTTCTGCAAGCCATGCTCTGTGGCCGCCCAGCCGCGTCCCTCGGCCGACACTTCTCCTGTGCTGGCTTCTGCTCCACCGCGGCAGACCGGCTCCCAGAGCCTCAGATGTTTCCAGAGGGAGCTGGCCACAGGGCCACCGCGAGGAGCTGAGCCATCCCCATGTTGCCAGCGAATGAAAGACCCAGACCTAAGCTCTAGTTCCACGCTCTCGGGTCCCCCCGGAGGCTGGGACCCAAAGCGGTGCAGGCAGGCAGGAGGCCCGGAGTTGGGGACCTGGGGACTCACCGGCTGCTGGGCGTCTTTAGGGAAGAAGGGGGGCCAGTCCACCAGGCAGGACAGCACAAACTGTGCCACCACCAGGGACAAGCACAGGTAGGTGGACAGGTGGCCGAGGGGGTCGCTCTGGAAGCCCTGCAGGAGAGAGAGCACAAGTCCCCCTGAGTCTGGGGGACGGAGGACAGTGCCTGAGCCCCCAGGGGTGGAGGCAGAGAGGGGCTCCCAAGAGCGGGGAGGCCGGGGCTGAACAGGGTTCCAGGCCAGGAGCAGCGTCCAGGCAGGGGACAGGGCCAGGGTGTTCCCGAGCCAGGCCCCTGCATTCCTGGTTGTCCCAGTTTGCAAAACCTGATGTGCACGTATTCTGTCTGAACAAACGCGGGGCCAGGGCTGTGTCTGGGCTTTGCCCTTAGCTGGTGACGACCGGACACAGAGCTGGGATAAGAAGAAGAAGGGACACTGGGATCTTGGAAGTCTCTCTCTATTCCAGCTTTCCCGCCACACCCAGCCTCCCGGCCGGCTCCCTCTGGTTTCTGGTTGACGGAGAGGGAACGGGCTTAACTGAGCATGTACTCTGTCCCGGGCACACAGACGTCCTTCCTAAGCACAGTCCGCCCACCTGACCCCAGCTGGGTTTACGGCCTCCTGGTGAAACAGCAGCTGAGCTCAAGGGCACACAGATGGTGCCAAATTATGAGCTGTTCTGCTGAGCCACTGCAGGGCTGGACAAGAGACCAATAAGTACAGTCCCCTGGCTACTGCGATGGGTGTGGGAAAGCACACAGGGCTCAGGCGGGGACAGTGACAGCTAGACCCACTGGGGGAGTCACCAGGCTTGTCTTCTGCCGACGGGTCTCACTGACAGGCAGACAGGGTCCCACTGGGTGGCTCAGCGCCTCACAGTGGCTGAGGCTGGTTTTGAACTCAAGATCCTCCTGCCTCGGCCTCCAGAGCTGCTGGGATGACAGCGTGCGCCCTGTGCCTGGCTCTCCTGAGATTTTTCTCCTGGCTTTTATTTTATGTTTTTGCAGACAGTAGACAGTTGTCCCCTGGTTTCACGGGGCCCACCTTCCCATGCCGCTATGCGGTTTTTTTTTTTCTTTTAACCACTGTTGCTATGACAAAGCTGGGACAGTGAGGAGACCTGACCTTGGGAGAGGCTCACAGTTGGCCTCTGCACTCCTGACCACGTGGCCTGGGGGAGGGCATTCCCTCCTCGGAGCCTCAGTTTCCTGTCTTTGAAGTGGGACTTCGGGACCCTAGACAGAGCGTTCTGGGAAGACTCCAGTGTAGGGGGGGGGGACATAAGTGCTCCCTGGTGCCTGTCCGTGGCCACTGCTCTGGCGTGCTGAGGACTCCCGGGTCTCTGTTTCTGTCCTGAGTTCCAGAAGCTGACTGTGGGCCCCACCCTCCATGATTTGGGGGTGCAGGTGGGATTTCCTCATTAGGTAAAAACGTTGCTCTTTAAAAATCTGTCCTCGGGTCAGAGATGTCCCTCCACTTTCTCCTCCTAGGAGCAGGACAGTGTCCACGTGGCTCAAGAAGCGATGGCCGGCCACCTGCTTCCACCTGGCCATCGGCCCCCAGCCCACAGCCTCGGCAGAACACTCTCCAGAGGCAAAATGACTCGCCATGGGTGGGCGGGTTTCCCTCTCAGGGGACCTGGCAGGATCTGGGGGCACTCTGGGTCACCACCGTGGAGGGCGATTGCCGCTGCTAGTGGGTAGAGGCCAGAGATGCCCATCCACATCCCCAGGACCATCCCCTATCCCCCCACCAATGGAGAAGGGTCCAGTCCGAAGGTGGGCAGAGCCAGGCTGTGAAGCCCCATCCAGGCTGTGTCTCTCTTTGCAGAGAAATCGCTCCATCAGCTCCTAATACAGAAGCCCCACTCCCCAGACTGGACAGCTGAGTGAGTGTGCAGAAAGTGAGTGTTGGCACAGATGCACAGGGACGCGGGGAGGCCGAGTGTGTCAGGAGGAGGGGGCACGTGCGTGCGTCACCCAGGGGAGAGCATGCGTGTGCGTCCAGGTCAGGCAGTACTCGTGCGAGCTCCTGTGTCCTGGCGGGAGGCGGGCCTGGGGCACGCAGGTGTGTGTGCCAGCCGGCAAGAGAGTGTGACGTGTGTGAGACCAGGGGATCTGTGCCATTAAAAAAAAGCACAAGTGACAACGTGCAGGGATCTAGAGATGACTGCGTGAAGTGAAAGGAGCCGGGCTCGAGAGGTCAGGGCCGGGTGGCCTCACCCACAGGTAGAGGAGGAAGAATCGGCTCTTACAGACCAGGGTCCAGCGGGGTGGCCAGAGGCTGAGAGCGGGTGGGAGAGATTCCTCAGCAGGTACAAATATGGCCGAAGAATGCGGCCTGGCGTTCTGCTGCACGGGCCGGGATTGTAATTAACAATGTTGAATATTTCAAAAGAGCCAGGAGAGGAGTCTGAATGTACCCACCCCAAAGAAACGGCCCCTGGAGGAGGTGATGCATATGTTAAGCACCCTAACTATGGATTCTTACACGGTGTACATATGCACCCAAATACCCCGCTGCACCCCGTAAGTGTGTACGATTAGCATGTGCCAGTTAAAAGTCAGAACATGGACGGAGGGTGGTGACTTAGAAGTGAGGGTACGTTTGTGAATCACTAGTGTTTAAGTGACTGGGGTGTGTGCCTGTGTCTCTCTGTGTTGAGATTCAGCCATGTGTGGAAAGGGCAGGGGATGGATGAGACCCAAGGCCGCCATATGGGTTTCCCCAGCTGGCCCAGGTCCCCGCTTACCCCTCTGGAGGCCTGCTGGGCGGTGCTCGTAGCTGGCAAGAGGCAGCAAAGCAGCCAGTACCCAAACATCACCCCGGAAGCCCGGACTCCCTTCTTCCTCTCCATGTGAATCAGGAACACGGCGAAGCCCTGGGTGACAAAGTCCAGCTGGGCCCCTTGTGGGGGTGGGAGTGGGGTGGGGTGGGGTGGGAGGGGAGGCGCCTCTCTTCCCCACACTCCCCACCAGGAGCCAGCCAGGTTCCAGCAGAAGAGGTCATTACCGTGGTGGTGAGCCACACTGTAGGGTGAATAAGGAATTCTGGGGCCTGGGGTGTTCCCTGTTGGATTTTCCAAAGCGGGAGGGCCACGTTGAAGGCACACAGGAGCATGAGGGCGAACCCGAGCACCTGGGGAAACAGGTGTAAGTAAGGCTGGGGGTGGAATAGAGGTGGGAGGAGACGTAGGGTGATCCCACATCCTACTGGGCGCTGGTTCTGCAACATCCCGGCTAGGACCCTGAAATAAACCAAGGTCACACGTTACCAGGCTGCTGATGTGTAGGATGCGTGGGTGGGGGGCACTGCAGACCAGCCCTCGAGTGAGTAACACACAACAGGACTTGGGCCAAACCCATGTCCCCCAAATGCAGAAGGAGTTCCAACAATGCACTCTGGGTGTGGAGATACCAAGTGACATGAAAATTATTCGCAGGCTGAAAAAGTTATGCCCTCTCGCCCTTTGTAATCTCTGCTACCAAGTCTATGGGAAACTCTTCAATGGGCTGGGACGTTTCCAGAATATCTGCCCAAGAAAACGAGAGTGTTCGCACGTGCACACACCACAGAGAAGGCCAGGGCAAGGCTCCCGGAGGAGCTACCCAAACCACCCCGCCAGGCTCCTGCCGGGGTCACGGGCTACCTACCATCTGCAGCTGAGTGGGGCCGGCTGTCCATTTATGTAGCCTGTGAGCTAAGAAATTATTTATTGTTTTACATTTTTCAATCATTGGTTACCAAAAAAATATGCAAAAGCAGGTAATATGTCATGACTTGAAAATGAGGTGAGATTCACATTTCAGGGAATATAAATAAAGTTTTATCGAAACACGCTCATGTCTCTTTCCTCTCTGCTGCGGATGGCTGTTTTGTGCTGCCCACGGGATGAAACAGCACGGCCCTCAAAACCTCTCGGAGGCAACAGTGGACCTTTCAGTTTGCGATGCCCGGATAGAGGGTGGGCAATACAGCCAGAATTTAATGATCTGGCCATGAATGAACTTGAAAGGACATTCCTGTAGCAATGAATGGAAGGTGAATGAATGCAGAGGCCCACACTTGGAATAGCAGCATTTATCTAACACACTATGGTAAACACCTAACAATTTTTAAAAACTGTTCAGGAGGACTGTCAGTGGGGAAGCAAAGAGGAAAGTTAATTGGGCTGGGTGTGGCTCAGGCATAGAGCTGTGTGCTTAGCATGCCTGGGTCCCTGGGTTCCGTCCCCAGCACCCAAGAATCAAATCGAATCAACTGTTCAAGTTTTAAAAAGGTAAAAATCACCATGCGCACCCCAAGTACACATGGCACCAGGAGAAGCCAGGCTCAGATACCTCTGCACTGTGGGGACATGCATGTGTCTGTGTGCGCACGGGGTTTTACAATTACAAAATCTGTTTGGGGGAACTTTGATCCACCAAGTGTACCTCTGTTGCCTTTCTAGTATTGATCTGTTTGGTCAGTGGGCTCCCTTTCGTCACTACCCCGTGTGCTCCCTGGTAGGTGTGTTCATTTTGGGGTCCCTGCCAGGTTCCCGGGCCCTCCCCTCCATCATCTGGTTTACGGCTCCCAGTGGTGGAAACTACCATTTTCACTTTGAAGAGCGGGGACATCCGGAGGTAGCCCCTGCCATGGCGGTGGATGTGGAGGAGGTAGATGGGGCCGAGGACCCAGAGGTACATGGGGGGCAGCCAGACCCCCGCTGTTCTCAGGAAGCACAGGCTCAGGGGGCTGTGGGCCGCAGGCTCCGGCTCTGTCTGGTTCCAGACCTGAAGAACACCAGGCGGACCCTCAGGATGGTACAACCCGGGGACCCAGTCTCACCTGCCTGCAGGTCCAGCATTTGGGCCCCTAACATTTACATTAGGATGTTCCACGCCCTCTTTGGGATGCTTCTCACTTCTCAACTCTTCCTGTCCTCAGACCAGCCCTACGGGTAGCTGTAATCACCACAGTGATTTGGCAGAGGAGGACGCTGAGGCCCAGAGAGGTTGAGTCTCGTGGCTGACCATACCCACTGGGAAGTTGGTGGTGCTTGAATCTGAAGCTAGGGAATTGTGTCCTGGAGTCAAGGACAAGTGCGCTCCATAATAAGTGCTAGGCACAGGTGCCACCTCTTCTAAGATCTCCAGATGGTAGATGCTACTGTCCCCATCTTACAGATGAGTAGAGGAGGAGGCACCCAGAGGGGAGCCGTCTCCTTAAGGCCCACACAGGTAGGAAGTGCAGGGCTGACCTCCACTCAGGTGCCTCCCCTGGAAGCTTGTTCCATGGGACGTCTTTATCTCTGGGGTTCATCTCCATCTTTCTGCTGGCCCTTTCTAACTGGAGAATTCCGAATACAAAGTTTGGAGGACATGGTCCCTTCAGGGCCACTCACCCCCGCCCCCCTCACTTATCTCTACTCTGACTGCCCTGAACTCAGCCTCTCTGGGCCTCAGTTTGCTTCCCTGTAGAAGCCGGGAAATGGAATCTCCTAACGATGGGTCCATAGCAGCGAAGCTCGGATGGCGATGAGGGCTCGGGGCAGGCGCTCAGTTAACTTTGCGTCTCTTTATTGCCCGTCTACCAAGCCCTGAGAGCCTAGGGCTGGCGACCCCCCGCCCTTCCCAAGAACTCGCTCTGGAGAGAGCTGAGGGCCCCATGGCCGAGGGGCCCAGGGAGGCAGGGGGTCTTGCAGACGGGATAGGGCTCTCTGCGGTGGGAAGGGCTTGGGGAGGGTCCCCTAGCTTCATGCAAGTAGAGCTCACAGCCCCCAGTCGCTGGGAGATCCGGAGGCCCCTTAGTCCGCTGTCACCTGGATTGTAACAGGACAGCAGATCTCTTCGCTTCCTGGGGCCAAGAATTTGGCGGGAGTGGGGGGCAGGGGGAGTATTTCCCTTCCTAGTATCGCAGCCCGAGAGAGATCTGGGGCCAAACCCAGCCCGGGAAAGGAGAGCGGGGCTGGGTGCGCACTCACCCCCAGCCCTGCGCACGGCTCGCCAGGCGCGGCCATCGGGCGCCCTCCGTCCGTCCCTCCGTCTGTCCGAGCGTGGGTCTGCCTGTCTGTCTATCCCTGGGCAGCCTCCTCCACTGCGCTCGGGCAGGCCAGGGGCGGGGCCGGTCGGGATCGGAGGCCAAGGGCAAGGTCCAGCCGCGCCGCCACGCTGGGACGACTAGGGTGAAAGGAGGCGCGGCGGTGGGGACGCGCAGGGAGGCCCGGGGACCCCACTAGGGGATGGCATCCAGGGATCCCTGAAAAGTGCAGGGACACCCCCATGCTCGTTGCCCGCCCTCTGCAACAAGTTTGTCCCAAACGCTTTGGAACCAGGAATTCCGGGTGTTTATCCCGATGAAAGAACCAACGGTGCGCACGTGTGTGTAGCAGGAGTCTTGGCAGCGGCCACGGACCAACAACCCGGATGGACATCGTCTATATGCAGGGCGCTGCGAAGAGTTTAAGAAGATTCTCAATAAAGAGTTTAGCACAAGCTGGGCAGATGGCCGCAGGACTGGGACCCCAGCCATTATGGAGGCTGAGGCAGGAGGCTTGAGAGTTCCAGGTCAGCCTTGGCACAGCGCTGGGCACACAGTACATGCTAAATAAGCTAGGGATTACCTTAGCTTGGTATGATCACTTAGTGCACGGGTTAAAGACCAATGAGTTGTTCATTCTATTTGATTTTTTTTTTCCAGTTCTGGGTATTGAACCTGGGGGCGCCACCACTGAACTACATCTCCAGCCCTTTTCATTTTGTATTTTGAGACAGGGTCTGCTTCCGTTGCTCAGGCTGGCTTGGAGCTTGCGATCCTCCTGCCTCAGACTTCCTGGTGGCTGGCATTACAGGCAGGTGCCACTGCACCAGGCAATAACCAATAGATGCAAAATGCCATTGCAGAAATGTGTGAATGTGGAAAGTCGGTTGCTGAACACTAGGACGAGAGATGACAGTATAGAAAGGATATGATGTTCTTACAGGGGAAAAGAAGAAAAGAGAAAAGAAAGGGCCAGGGGAAACGGATATGCTTAAATTAGGGAAAGTGGAGAAGGAAGTCTTTTTTTTCCCCCTGTCCTGAGTCTTAAAGCAAGGTGTGTGGCTTTGTGTCAGAGTCCCCTGCCTCTGGCTGCCTTTAGAAATGATGCTGTGTACTTGTGGTATGTGCACAGATGAAAAAACGGAAGCGCACTAAGGCAACGACCACTTTCATTAACATTTATCATTATTTTTCCTCCAAGGAGCCCACGCTCCTTTCAAGACTGGAGAGAGAGGGGTGGGATTGTGGCTCAGTGGTAGAGCGCTCACCTCCCCCGTGCAAGGCCCTGGGTTCCATCCTCAGGACCACATAGAAATAAATAAGTGAGGATTGGAGAGAGGAACTCAGTCTTTCAGACACCCACCCAGATTTGCATTTGGGTAAAAAAATCAAAACCCTCTGCACCCTCTCGCTGCTTGGCTGTTTCTGGGGGTCTTATCCTCATCTTTTTCTCTGGCCTCACCTTCTCCTGGGCCTCCACAGTATGGGTTCCCACAGCCTCATTTCCGCCTGTCTCTTTGAGTCTCCCCAATCCAGTCTGGGGTCCAGGAAGTTGGGGTCCTCTTGCTCATGTCCTCTGGAAGACAAGGTCATAATGAACCCAGGGTTTGTTTTGAAGCTGAAGGGCAGGTCTGCTGTTTGCTTTCACATCTTGTCTGTTTATTTGAGCTGCTTTGTTTGTAGAGTTTGAAGGAAATTAGGGGGAAGCTAAAGCCCGCTTTCCCTGCAGGCTGCTAACCCCCACCCAGCTGGCTTAGCCGCAGTCCTATTTCTTTGTATGTTTGAAGATGAATTTAAGGCATGGTCACGGAGTCAGAAGAACACGGGGGAAATCGGGGGATGAACCAAGAAAATGACGTGGGGAATCCTAATACCTACTCTTCAGCTCTCAGAACCGCCTGTGGCTGCATGCAGAGCAGTCTAGATAAGTCCTTTCCCCCTGGCTTCCCATTCTGTGTAGGAAGAGAAGTTCCCAGGGGCCCACACTTCCTAAACGGTGTTTTTCAAACCCCTGGTGATTTGCTAAGATAAACCAGGGCTTCATGGTAGGGAGGGTAAATACATCAGCCTTATAGTGGTTCTGAATAACAAACCCCACTGAAGAAATTAATTATTTAAACAGTTCCTATGACTGAGTAGTTGAGAATCTCACTGTGTTTTTAGTGGGAATGCAGAGGGGAGAGACGGAATCAGATGCACCCACCATGGCAGCCTGCTGTAAGGCCTCATCCTCTGTAGCCACTGGGAAGGTTTTGATGACCATACAGTCTAATCTCTTAGTTATATATTGTTTAAGTTTTAGCCACAATGGTGATAATGGCAGTGGGAAATCTCTTATTTCATCATTTAGAAACAAAATGTTAAAAACTACCAAAATAAAACACTTTTTTTCTTAAAGGAGCAAAATGGAAAAACTTCAAATATTAGGTTAGAAAGCAGTGTTTATCCATTTTGGTGGATAACTTTGTAGTTAAATTCTGCCTACACATGTTATGTATTTTGAAAAAATACAACATGCTGATATTTGAACTACTTTTAGACAAAACATTTCATCTTGGAGAATGAATCCAAAGTAAACCACATGTGGACCTCAATCTTTTAAGAGAGAGAGAGAGGAAAAAAAGCCTCTTGAGATCTGTTTCTATGCAGATAATAGAACAGGGAATAAAATAAATTTCAAATAATACCTTCTTTAATATTATGCTGAACCTAATATGTTTTGGTTTAAAACTTACTAATCATTTATCATAGAAAATGCACCAACTTGCAGATTTCTAACGGGCTTATTGAGAGTGCGTAACACTTGTGAAATATTGAGTTAATTAGATTTGGGAAAGCTGTTGGATACCTCGATCCACAGTTTCTTTTCTTTTTCCAGCTGTGATATTGAACCGGAGGTAGAATTCAGCTCCTGAACCCAGAGGAGCACCTGCCAGAGGGCGCGCGGGGTCCTCCAGGCCTCCAGGGGGCAGAGGAGGACGCGTTTCCTTGCTGAGCATGCGCCGTGGGTCTGCTCTGTGGGCGTGGTCTCGCAGTGCGCCTGCGCGACGGTGGGGCGGGGTCTGGGCTGTCAGCCGGCGAAGAGGAAGGAGCCGGCAGCGTGCGGAGTGAGGGGCGGGACCCGGGCGGCCTGCGGAGGGTCGGCGAGGGCGGCCGGGCCATGTGGGCGGGCCGGGGCGCGGGGCCGCCGGGGCCCGTGGGGGTCGCCGCCGCCGTGCTGCTGCTGCTGCTGCTGTGCGGCGTGGGGCCGGCGTGCGGCTCCGAGGACATCGTGGTGGGCTGCGGGGGCTTCGTCAAGTCGGACGTGGAGATCAACTACTCGCTCATCGAGGTGAGCGCCCGCCCCGCGCGCCGCCGGCCTCGCGCTGTGACCCCGGGCCGGTCGCTCAGCCTCTCTGGGCCGCCACGGCCTGGCGCCCGGCCCCGCGCGGCGTCCGCAAGCCGACGTATGGCTGCGGGTTCGGGCGCGGGGCCGCGGCGCCCCGAATCCAGACCGCAGCCCCTGGAGCCCTGACCCCGTTTCTCCAAAAGCTGGACCGCAGATCTCCCCAGACCTGCAGACCACGATTCTTACCCACCAGCGCCACAACCCGGAACCCCCCGCCCCGCAAGGTCCAGTCCAGTGCTCCCCAGGTGCTTTTAAAAGAGCACCCCGGAGACCCACCCCCGGTAGAGCCGTGCTGGAAACTCCGCGGGGGGCGGCTGCGTCTTTACCCCCGCCCCCAGCTCCTTTTCCTCTGAAAGGGGAGCGTTGCCAGCTGTCCTGATGGGTGGTCCCGGGTGGTCACCGGAATCACACTAGAGATCCGTGTAGAAGTTTTCTTTAGGGAAAAAAAAAAAATTAAACTGTAAGGGTCTGTGAAGTGATTGTCATCCCAGTGGGATTATGGCCCAGATAGCTTCTGAAAAGAGGACGCGGGAGGGACACGTGGAGGTAGGCTTCCAGGACACCTGTCAAGGTGGGTGAGGAAGAGCCACCGGGAGGGCTGGGCCTCATTTCCAACCGCGGACTGTAAATGGGACAGGGGGATGGAGGGGAGTGGAAGAGGCACACACCAGATGCCTGGGATGAGGTTTGAGAGAAAACAAAGGAAGGGGCGAGGAGATGCCAAAGAGACTGGGAAGGGACAGAGGCTGCCCCAGAGAAGGCAGAGTGGAACAGCAGGATTGTACAGAACAGGTCGCCAAGGATTGTGGGAGGGGCGGGAAATGGATTCGCAACACTTTCACCTGGCTTTGCTCCAAGTCCGGTTTCTTACCTGTAGGATGGTGTTGGGAGAGAAGCAGATGCTCCTACAGAGGAGGCTGGGTTGTCAGCCTCAGGGCCCCTCTGTCCGCTGTTCCTCTACCCTTTTAGTCCTAAGGGCTGGCAGGAGCTGCTGGGAACATGTGGGGTCCCCATGCCACCTTCTGGGTTTGAGGCACATGGCATTTGAGAAGCTGTCTTCAAAGCACCCAGAGCAAAACAGGACACTGTTGCAGGCAGTTTGTAGTTTCCCGGGGCTCTGGGAGGAAGGGAAAGGCTGTTAGGGCACCCCCACCCCCAGTACTAATAGTGGGCTCTGGACAGAGAAGTGTATCTCTTGAGCCCTAGGGCTGCCCGTCCCCCGCTTGTTCTTTTGTATTGGACGCTCCTTCTTTCCTAATTACTGGTGATGAAATCAGACATTTCGTATGAGTAACCTCACTGTAGATTAGGTTGCCATTCAACGTCCTCATCTGTGCTTTATGAAAGAAAAGTCGGTATTTCATGGTTGTTTCTTGATGGTGCTCTCTGTGTCCCAACCTGGCTACCTTCCCCCTCTCTAGCCTTCTTCCCTCTGGGTGCTTTTGCATCCTGTTCAGTCAACAACAACTTATTGCGCTGCTGCATGTCCTGCAGCGTGGCCCAGGTGGGGAAGTGAACACACCAGAGGAAAGTCCCTACTCAGGGCATTGACATTTCTGTTCTTTACCTGTGGCCTGAGCTGTTAAAAAGAA